TTGTCGGGATGGATGTGACAAGTTTTGAAATGAATTATGAAATGTCAATATTAAATTCGCTTCCGCAATATTGTTAACTACTCCGTACTGTATATGTTATGAAAAATATTATTGAGATTAATAAAGTGTGTTTGAAATGTTTTAAATTATCACGATTACCAAATCAATACTTTAGTCTGAATGGGGCTGCAGACCTGGACGGATTAGGGTGTTACATTATTCTTTTTACTTTGCCTTTCTTTTCTGTGTTATTATAAATCATGCATGAGATATATTTCCTTTATTCAGAATCGAGAAGATATTAGTTCGAACCCGTGCGTGGCACGGGTAGGAGTACTAGTATATATATGTAAAAGAGAGTTCAATTATTGTAGTGTTGACATGTGGCATGCCACATGTGCACTCACTAATGATGTGGATTTATGCATTTTAATTCATTGGTCCATTTTGATTTTTTAAAAAGATCTTTGAATACATTTGCATAAAACTTTTTCATTTTTTAATAATTCTATAAATATATATTTCATCATTGTAAAATATACTCCATTATATATATATTTTTATACTATCCACAACTTATTTTAGTTTATTACTTTTTAAAAAAAGATTATATAAATTTAATCACATATGCATATTTATTAATTAAACGATTTGTTTCAAAAAATTTATCTTATTACATTATTTATTTTATTAATGCATATCATATTATTATTAAAACATTAAAATAAATAAAATTAAATTTTAATTCATATTATGTTCATATATGAATTGAACTTTTAACAAACATCCAAAATGTTGACTTATAATATCTATGTTAACATATAGATATATTTTATAGAGAAATATGCGAGCCCGTGCGAAGCACAGGGTAAAAACTAGTACTAATATAAAATGCTGATGTATGCTTTCGAGAAACGGAGTATAAAATAAGATATAAATTTTGGTCTTTTTTCATAAATTAATTTACACGATCTTCAACCCTGCGACCCACTTGGCCACTTGCCGTGTAGTGGAGTAAATCTTTGATGTAATGTAACACGTTTTCTCGACAAGTTTTATTACTCCGTATAATTGTTTAATTTATTGCTCGCATTACTAAAATGATATTATTAACAATAATTGTCCAAAAAAAGAAAATACTCCTTGTAAATAATGTGCAAACCAAAATTTTAAGTTTTTTTAAATTTATTTAGTTTAAAGATTAATATAAAAATAAAATATATAAGTTATATATTTAAAAAAAATACGTGAAAAGCTTTACAAATTAAAAGGTGACAAAATGACTATGCAGTTTTTTTTTGAAATAATCAATGAATTTCTCTCTCTCTCTCTATATATATATACTTATATATATATATACATATATATATATATATATATACTGTATACATACACACACTTGTTATTCTCGATTCCTTTGACAATAATGTTTGGTTGTTATTTGGACCGTGTTTGTCATAGTCACAATTTTCGTACATGCAATGTATTTGATTCTTGTCGGGCAACAAAAGCCAAAATTCAATGCACTTATTTTTCTTTTTTTTTAAAAAACAAAATAAAAGAGAAATAAAAAAAAGGTTTATTTTCTTGACGTCCCCGGCCCGATGATGACATGCGATGCATGGACAATCAATGGTTTGGTGTCAGCTCAAATTCAGAACATGAATTAAAGAATTAAATTTAATTTAATTATGATTCCCCTAAATTATTAATTAGATGCAACAAATACTAATAAATAAATTATAAATTGAGATGCATGCATTGCATGCCATACTTGTTCAAAATCATATTCTTTTTGGTGCAATTAATCATCATGTGTTTATTAGTACAACTTGTAATCAAATATTTGTCAATTTAAACAAAACAAAAAACATTTGGACCTCATATATATATATATATATATATATATATATATATATATATATATATATATATATATATATATATATATATATATATATATATATATATTGCACACACCCACACACTATTGACAACCACAAAAATATAGAGATAAAAAGGCGTTTTTGTACGAAGTTTCGTGAACAAATGAAAATGGTGATCGTATCTTTATTTTTGTATCTATATATTATCTCTCTATCTTGTCAAAAAATATATTTTTAATAATTAGTATTGATATTCATCAATATTTTAGCAGGTTCAATTGAAGCTTAAAGTATCGATAATAATAATAATAATAATGCTATATGAAATCTTTGTCAAACAATTACTTCATTTTATTTAATTATTATTAATTATTTTATTTAGACAGTTCTGAATAATAATATTTCCTTCAAAACAATATTCTTTCGGTGATAGAGTATTCTTCCACTTTAGTTTTTTCAAGTTAAAATATACAAAATTTCATCATCAATTACATTAGATTTGTATGGTATAATAATAAAATAAAATTTTGAATGTTCTTTGTATGACAAATTAAATAAAATCATTCTTATATCGATATATAATACTTCCTCCGTTTCCCAAAAGAGTTCCCCTTTTGACTTTTAGCCAAAATAAGGAACCCATATTTTGACAAAGACCTTCCCATGTTGCCCTCTTACTCACGTGGAGTACATAGCAAAAGTGGGCAAATGTGAAAATAAAATAATGAGGATAATAATGACTAACTTGTCATGAATAGTGGAAGCATTAAATGACTCCACCAAAACCCTTAGCATTTCACACGGCAACCATAACAAAAGAGGGAAATATTACAAATTTTTTGTTTGGGAAAAAATTTAAAAAGCCCTCCAAATATTTCAACCTAATACTACCACTTCTCAATATAAATACACCAAAGCATTAAATGCATTCATCTCTCCCTAAACATGTCTTGAATGAAAATAAATGCTCCATATAATCTGTCTGCCTTCAAATAGCATTGATGGAACCGCCTCTTCCAACTTCCTCTCGTTTTGGAGATGCCAACGCCGACTCAGCCGATGTATCTGATGTCTCCCTGCCTCCACTGTTGGAAGTACCTTTCGAGGCTTTCAACACCCCTGAAATAAACAACATCGCATGTATTTCCGGTGTGCAAGCAAGAAACGAAAGAAGGCAGCGAATAATAGAGGCAATACTACAAAATTTCAAAAACGGCAAACTTCAACACGAGTCACTGATAACAGTGGCTAATGAATTCAACATATCTCCTCGTTGGGTCAGATAGCTATTAAAAGCTGCAAAATCTCAAATGGATAGGGGCCAGGCAGTGAATGTGGATTGCAGGTGGGAAGGTAACTCGGGGCAAAAAGGTTTCAATTTGGACATTTCAAAGCTGACTGACATTCCATTTCACCAGCGGAAAACGCTACGTGCCTTAAGCCATTGCCTTAATGTGTCAACTAGTACAACATATAGGTTGGTGAAGAAGAAAAAATAAGAAGAAATTCCACATACACATTCACTAATGCATGACCAAACATCTAAGCATAATTGACCTTTGTAAGCCTCCAAACCAAAAATGGGGTGGCGTTACAATTAGGCACCTTTCATTAACGTTAAGATTAATTTTTGTTCGCATCATTAGTTTGCCCAAAAACAACATGCAAGACAGATGCGCAAAGTGTAAAGGAGAGAAGAATAACATTACTCTCTTTATATCTTTCAATTTTGGATGGACTTCCTACTGGCTCGGACAACAACACCTCTATTTCCGAGCTCATTTCTCGAATCTCATCAGTGTTGAATAAAGACTCAAGATCTGATGAATCTTCTTCCAGATCTGATCCCCACTCAATTCCATCTGGGAGAATTTCAAGTAAATGTCTAACATTACAAGACATTATTTCTCTCACTAGGTCATTATTAAGTCCTATTTAAGGAATAAAACATATGTTTTTATTTCCATATGTTCTAGAATTTCAAAAACTCATTTACTTGAATCTTCTTACATTGGGAAATAAAAACATATGGTCCTATATTGAGAAAGTCATTATGTTTTAGTTCTATTTAGGTAAATTTCTCTATGTTATTTGGTAGCTTTTTGGAAATTTTATATAAGAGTAATTTACATATACTCCCTCGGTGTACAAATAAGCTTCTCGTTGCCCGTTACAATGTTTGACTGAATTTATTTTGAAATCATTTTATATGAAAAATGATGTAAAATTTAAAAATAAAAATTACATATTTAAAAACTACTCCCTCTATTTGAAAAAAAGTGTTCCTCTTTAGACTTTGTGTAAAAATAAGAAAGTATTAAATTGTAGTTGACTTCTAATTTTGCCCTTGATGTGATAGGTAAAAGTAAGATGTGATGGATAGATTATTAGAGATAAAGTATAATGTGATAGGTATGGTATAAAAAGTAAGGGTAAAAGTGGTTTTTTTAATAGAAAGTGGAAGCATTTTGTTGGAAGTGAAAAAAATGAAAGAGGAAATGTTTTTGTGAACGGAGAGAATTAGGGGTGGACACGGTACCTGTACGGTACCGTGACCGGCAACAGTACCGCCAGTACCCGCCACCGTCACCGCCGGCCGGGACATGCCACCGGTTCCAAGAACCGGTACTGCCCACTTCGGTACCGGTTCTGGTACCCAAATTTCGTTACCGGCACCGCCGGTACCGGTACCGATTAATTTTTTTTTGTTTTTGTTTTGCTTCCTCCAACAGATACCTGCAGCTGCCATTCCTGCCAAAAAAAACAGAGACAGGTCAGTGGGGTGGGGGGCCGGCCTCAACGGCTAAAGAGCCGTTTCAGGGGGGAGGGGAGGGGGCTTAAACCCTACTTATCACATGATACCTTTTTCCTAATAATCTACACATCACATCCTACTTTTACCCATCACATCAAGGGTATTTTTGGAAAGTCAACACAAAATTATCTCTTCCTTAATTTCAACTTTAGTCAAAACGTGTAAATCTTTTTGGGACGGAGGTAGTATTTTATTTTCTTTAATATCAAAAAATATATAATTTATATTTTAAATATACTCTTTACTTTTTGAAATTTTTGAAATTCCAATATATAAAATTTCAATTTTTTTTTTAAATTTTCGAAATTTAATATATTATTATTTTTAATATCAAAAATATATATATTAAAATGTCGAGAGAGTCCGGTAGAAGGTCCGTGGATATGGGCGCCGTGAACCGAAGTTTGAGGAAAGGCAAAGCTAAAGCCACCTCCGACTGTTCGACCTCACACGGTTCTCGAGGAAGACACCCCGTCTCTTCCTTTCATACTATCCCCGATCAATTCATCGGGGATGGTATGACGGATGAAGAATTCGACCAAATTTACTCTGGTAAAGGGGACGCGAATCTCCCCACTCTTGATAGTCTATTTGAGGATGTTCATGAAGCAGAACTGGATAATCTGGACGGGGACAAGGAGCTTACACCGCACAACAACGACGTCGACGTGGAGGCAGGTGAGCCCGAGACCTCTCGAGGTCCGGACAAAGGTAAAAAAAATTAAAATCGAATTTATTTGTTTATCATTTTGAAAAAGAAACAAATGATGGCATAGTTTATGGAACTTGTAAGTATTGTGGGACCGTCATTAAAATTGGAGTTTCCGGCGGTTATGGCGGTCCGGAAAAACACCTAAGGTCGAGGCATCCTGTGGAGTACGCCAAATACGCGGCGAAAAAGAAGGGACGACAAGAAGTGCAAACCCAAATTTCTCGATTTGCTAACAGGGGTAAGAGCGACCTTTTTGCTTATAGCGACGAGCAAAATAAGCAAAAAATGGCCAAAATGATTTGTGAAGAAAATTTGCCATATATGTTTTCTGAAAAACTTGGATTTATTGATTATTGTCAACATGCATTAAACCCTCAAGCAAGAGGTTTTTAAAGAAAAACAATTAAACGAGAAATTATTCGCCAGTATAAAACTGAAAAAATAAATTTGACAAATTTTTTTTCTCAATTTTAATTCTCGTGTTGCTATTTGTTCTGATATTTGGAGTGAAACATATCATAATTTGTCTTATATGGGTATTACTTGTCATTGGATAGATAGTGATTGGATTATGCATAAACGTGTTCTTGCATATCGTGATTTCAATGATTCTCATAATGCTGAAAATATTTTTCTATTGCTTCAGAGTATTCTGCGGGAATACAACTTAGCTGATAAAGTTTTTGCATTTGGTTTTGATAATGCTACTAATAATACTGTTGATATTCCTAGACTTAGAGAAATTTGCCCCCTTACTACGACTATGGGTAGATTTTTGCATCAACGGTGTGCCTGTCATGTTTTAAATTTATGTGTTCAACAGGGACTCGAAGCTATAGGGGGGGTTTGACGAATATTAAAGAAGGAATTAGAAAAATTTAGGGGGCTCGTCTTATTTCGAAGTCTTGGAAGATATTCTGTAAGTCTAAGGGTAGAAGAGAAATAACATTTGCCAAAGATATCCACATTAGATGGAATAATACTTACAAGTTGATACAACAGATTCTAAGCTATAAAGAGGAACTTGCTGAATTTTTTAGTGATGAACTTCGTATAATCATTTCATCTATTGAATTTAATATTGTTGAAAAATTGAATGCCGTATTAGAAGTTTTTAATAACGCAACTCTTACTTTTTCGCATGTTTACCAACCAACTACAAATACATTTTTTAAAGAGTGCGTTACAATCGCAACATGTTTTTGTGAGAGTTTGGTTGATCCAGATTTATATCCTTATGTCTCTCCTATGAGAGATAAATGATGTGCTTATTATTTGTACATTCCCGATATTTATAAAATAGGTATTATTTGTGATCCACGCTTTAAGATTGAAAATTTTAAAATTCTAATTGACTATTACTACACTTGTTTTCTAGATGAAAATAGTTATTACTACATGCATTTAATAGAATGAAAAAATGAAAGAGATAATGCTATAACTCTTTTGAAGGATTTGTTTAAGGAATATCAAGGGTTATACGGTACTGTACCAGAAGAAACAACACCTCCTCCGCCCCCAAATCAAAAAAAGGTTTTAAAGGAATAGTCGGTGGGCTTGTTGCAAATAAAGGGAAGCGTGCTCAGCCTTCGACGAGTTCAAGTGGTACAACAGTAAGCTCACACAACAAACTTGCTATGTACTAAGGAGTGCCATGCGATTATGACGAGGACGACGTGGAGTTTGACATCCTCGGATGGTGGAAGCGGAACGAACACATGTTCCCATGTCTTGGAAAGCTAGCAAGACAAGTGTTGTCCATCCCGGTATCAACCGTAGCTGTGGAGCGAGAATTCAGTGCTGGCGGCAACATTCTAAACGACTTTCGAAGTTGTCTTAACGGTGAATCTCTTGAAACACTTGTTTGCAACCAAGATTGGCTCTTGGCAAGACGTCGAGCTCAAGAGTCGGGGTACGAATTCAATTCAGAGCATTACATGAATGCAATCACAGATGGAAGTCCGAGTTCTGAGGAATAAGTTATAAACTTTTTTTTATGTTAATGTAAATATGTAATTAGTTTTTTTTAGGTGAGCGATATATAAGCTCCTTCGAGGGTTTCTTTACAGTTCTTTACCTCGTTGCTTTTTTTGAACCGTTAGAATATTAAATGTAGTTGTTCTACAGTTCGTGTATTACTCATTTTACAATATTTAAATAATAACTACATTTTTAGATTTTTTATTTCATTCTTTCCTTTAACAATTGCAAATTTACAATTTTACACTTTAAAAATTTAAAAAAAAAAGAAAAAAAATTGGGGGTGACCGAAACCGGCCGGTCCGGTACTGGAACCAGCCCCGACCCGAACACACCCCCACAAGTTGATTTTGACTTTGGAGTCAAAATTTAACTCTAAAGTCAAAATCAACTTGTGGGGTGCAATTGAAGGGGGTGGGGGGTTTACCGGGGAGGTTAGGAGGGGTAGGAACCGTCAATTTTACGAACGGGACAACGGAGCGCCTCCGGGTCATCCCATGATATTGGCTTCCAGTGTCATGAGAACCTTCCAAACGTTATCGCTAAGACTTTGAATCAATAAATAATAGGAAAATGAAGAGGACTTGAATGAACAAAAAATAGTACAAAGACTAAATAATTTTAATTTTTAATATAAGGACTAATTTAAATACGAGTATTTTTTAATAATATAGAAATTTACAACACCAAGAGACACAACGGACAGAAAAAAAGAGAGCCAAGAAATGCGCATGCAGCCCGTGGTCGGTAAAGACACGTGCTTTAGTACTTATCTGGCTCGCAAGCAGAAAGGAGAAACGCGGGTGGGCCGGGTTGCGAGCACCGGGCAATAACCGGAGGCACCCGTTCCCGGTAATGATTCATTGAACGCTTGCGTGAAGGGCCAGGAATTGGGATTGGTTCCGGTATCTGTTTTCCTATCTACGCCTCTAGACGTCTCACCAAATACATTTAACTCTATGCATATAATTATTCTTTTTTATTTAAATAAAATGCAATAAGATTTTGTATATATATAGACATAAATTTATATTTATATTTATAGGATGATCACAGAAATCAGCAAGTCCCAGCAAATATTCTTAACACGCTTCTTCTTCTCTCTCTCTTTCTTGATCTTTCTGGCTTTGGAATTCAATTCTTGGCTGCAATTGAAATCTGGGGTTTTCTGTTCTTGGTTGAAAATCTAATCTTTTCTGCTCAGATTTGTTGGGTTTTTCTTTAAATCGAAGAAGAAGCAGCCATGCCTACTCTTGTTGGTTATAGTGGTAAGTTTTTGAAGTTTTCCTTGAATTGAACTTTGATGAATGTTTTGACAATTATGGCTAAGAAGAATCATAGATTCTGTTATTCACTGCTATTTCTTGGGATTGAAATGTGTCTGCCTTTGGTAACTATATAAATATAAAGAGAGGACTCTAAAGGTTGTGTTTGGTTTTGATGGGGAGACTTATTTTTGGAAGTTAGTTTAGGGGATTGATTCTTGGATTAGATAAGCTTAGGAGGAAAAATTATTGGTGTTATTGTGTTTGATTCTTAGCTGAATATATCCAAGTTGTGTGCGCAAATTTGTTAAGCTAATGTTGTCTTCATGCAAGAATAGTTAATTCTTTCCTAAATAGGATATTTCTTGATTTAGGATATGTAGAATTCTTTTGTTTGTTACAATTAGGATGTAATGCCCGTTTGGTAACAACCTTACCATTTTGAAAAGTATGTTTAATGCGTTTTGCTTTAGCGTTCTCAAAGTTAATCTGCACCATTAAAAACAATCCAAAATGATGGTGTTGATTGAAAATATTTCTTCCCAAACGAGAAAATTCTGTGAAAATTATATACTTAAAAGAGATTCTCTCTGATATTTCAGGTAAAGAAAATCACATATCACTTGGTTGTGTGGATGTGTACTACCCTCCTAGAAAGCGGGCAAGAATTGCCTTCCCAAATCCTGTTGATGAAGAGAAGGAGAAGAACAAGCCTTCCATTGAGATTCTTCCAGATGAATGTTTGTTTGAGATATTTAGAAGACTGCCCGGAGCATGTGAAAGGAGTGTCTCTTCTTGTGTTTCCAAACGCTGGCTTGCGCTCTTAAGTGGTGCTTGGTGTAACGAAGATGTGGAAGGACAGTGCGAAGGGTACCTTACAAGGTCTCTTGAAGGGAACAAAGCCACCGATATTGGACTTGCGGCCATTGTGGTAGGGACCTCAAGCCGTGGGGGGCTCGGGAAGCTTTATATCAGGGGGACCCGTGGAGTTACCGATGTGGGTTTATCGACGATCGCTCTTGGCTGCCCTTCCCTAAGGGTACTGTCCCTTTGGAATGTCCCTTCAATTGGGGATGAAGGCCTTTCCACGATTGCAAAGGGATGTCAGTCATTGGAGAAGCTAGATTTAAGCCATTGTCCTTCAATTTCCAATAAAGGGCTTATCGCCATTGCAGAAAATTGCCCTAATCTGTCCTCATTGACTATAGAATCATGCCCTTATATCGGGAACAATGGGCTTCGGGCTATCGGAAATCGGTGCACTAAGTTACGGTCCGTCACTGTGAAGGACTGCCCGGGAATTTCGGATGAGGGTGTTTCTGGTCTTCTATCATCTGCTTCCACTGTCTCGAAAGTGACACTACACGGTTTAAGCGTAACGGATTTCTCGCTTGCCGTTATCGGACATTATGGGAAGGGAATCACCCGGCTCGACCTCGGGGTGCTTCATAACGTGACCCAAAAGGGGTTTTGGGTAATGGGTAACGCCCGCGGTTTGCACAGTTTGGCTTCTTTGACCGTCTCTTCGTGCCGTGGGATAACGGATGTGAGTCTTGAGGCATTGGGAAAAGGCTGTTTGGATCTAAAGCATATCTGTCTTCGCAAGTGCTTCTTCGTGTCGGATTTCGGGTTGGTGGCGTTCACAAGAGCGAATGAATCTCTTGAAAGTTTGAAGCTGGAGGAGTGTAACCGGATCACCCGAACCGGTTTTCTCAACGCGGTTTCCAATTGCAGAAAACTGAAGTCCATTTCAGTGTCCAAGTGCTACGGTGTCAACGATATCGATCCCGAAACACCCTTTCTGTCTCCATGTGGGTCCCTTAGGTCTCTTGATCTCGGGGGGCTTAACGGTATAACAGATTCAGGTCTTATCCCTCTTCTGAAGAGCTGTGAGTCGGGACTGGTCAAGGTGAATCTCAGTAACTGCCCGAACCTGACCGACGAAGCCGTTATGGAACTTGCCCGGTTGCATGGGCAGACACTCGAGGTTTTGAATCTCGAAGGCTGCCCGAAGATCACGGACGTGAGTTTGGAGGCGATTGCCAGAAACTGTGTTTCGCTCAACGATCTCGACGTTTCAAAGTGTTCGGTGACGGATTATGGCGTAGCTGCGTTGTCGCGCGGCAGCGTGCAGAGGAATCTGCAGATTCTTTCCTTGTCAGGCTGCGTCATGGTCACCGAGAAGAGCATTCCGTTTCTTGAAATGCTAGGGAAGAGTCTGATCGGTTTAAATCTCCAGCATTGTAACTCTATGTGTAGCCGCGCGGTTCAACTCCTAGTGGAGAACTTATGGCGGTGTGATATTCTTTTGTGAAAACTTGTTGGATGAAGATGGCGTTCGGTTAGAAACTGGGCCCCAATCCACCATCTTTGGGGGTTGGGGTGGGGGGTCTGGAGTACGGGGCATCAGAATGAATCGAACTACGATGGTTAGGGATGGTACACTTGGGTGATTTTGATGGGTTTACCCCTTTTGATTTTGGGGCGAAGATGGTTTAGTGGATTGGCGGTTTTCAGGGAGGATGTGGCTGTTTTCCGGCGATTTTTTTGCAGGCTTTCTGTAAAGGTCTGTTGCAGTCCTTCCCAAAAACATAGGCCATATCCCAAACCTACATTTTCACTCATGACACCATTAGAGAGAATTGTGCACCCATGGTGGGACTGTAGAATGACCCCTTCACTCATAAGTTGTCTGAATGCCAACATGTTCCGGACCAACTCTTGGCTCGGAGACGCTTCAATGTTCTCTAACCACACATGATAATGATGATGATGACGGATCAGCCTGCGGGCCCCACAGATAGAATCGGAGCGTGGTGGGTTAGGTCCCATCTGGTGGCTTGCCGGTGGCCACAGACAAGTTTCGGAGGTTGTGTTTTTTTTTTTGAAATTTTGGTTTAGAGGATTGGTGGTTAAGAGATGTATTAGGTCATGTTTTGGTTTTTGTACCTTTGCTTGTTAACTACAGTGTATATAATATGTGTAACCAGTTTTGGTGCATACAATGAAAGAAGTTTTCAGCTAGTGAAATACTGTTTTTGTCTCTTGGAAACATCGTCTCTACTTTCGAGTAAGAGTAATGTGTGTGTACACACACACCCTCCCCAGTCCCTACCTTCGTGGGAAAAATATTCTTCCATTTTATGCCTCCATAATTTAAACAAATCAAAAGTTTTTTGGGTATAAATTAGCATTGCTATATCTTGACTTGGATAAGTCCATTGCAATTGGAGCTAACATGTCGTCGTTGACAATGTTTTAGACTTTTAGTTCCAGGTAAATAATGGACTAAATCAAAATGACACAGTAAACTTCATCTGCTTACTTTCAATGAAGTTTCAAGTAGTAAATACAACAGTGCATCAAAGATTCAACAAGAACAGTCTCTTTGTACTCAACATAGGTAAGATTGTGTACACATTGGTATTTTACACTCCATGAAAGTAAAAATTATGCTGGCTTGTTGTATATATTTGAAGCCATAATCACTTTACCATTGATAGACTTACAGAACTCACAACTTCTTCAATATCTTGGTTTGTGAGGCAGGAATTGATTTAAGAAACCTTCAGCAGCAGAGCGCTTCGATACAGACGGCAACAAAAATTCTATGATAGTCTTCCCCTCCGGTAGAAGAGGTAAACTTGATGCTTCATTTTTACTATCTTTTGTAATTTGCATTTCAAGTAAATAGGAATAAGTGAATATTACTTGTTGACTTGGTCCTTTTCCCCTAATCATTAAGGGGCGAGTCATGCTCGAGGNCAGGTGGACGGGGTTGGTGCAGGGGCGGGGCAGTTGGGGGGTTGGTGAAAAGCATTTTCCTCTGTTGAGAAGAAAAGGTTTTTTTCTGGGAAAATATTTGCTTACCATTTATGTTACCAAAAGTAGAAAATTAGTAAAATTTCGGAGAACTCCAACCAAACACTACAAAAAAAAAAACTTTGGCTTGCTTTTCTAGTTCAGCAAGAATTAATCTCAGAAACTAACTTGGAATGAGCAAAACGTATTAGTCAATGTCACACAGTAAGTAGACACTGCCAGCCGTCAAAATGGAAAATGGGAGTGGACTTTTCACTTGCTCTTTCACACTGCTTTCATAATAGTACATGTATTTTGCCAATCATACACTACTCCTGTCTCCTGCATTCAACCTTGGAAACAATGTTTAGTCTTCCATTACATAAAGCCCAACAAAACAATTTTCTTCTTTCTTCTGAGCTAATATAAAGAATATTCTTGTTAGAGAAGAATAGTGTTTGAATATGGAGTCTCCATTTTACTTGTTGTTCTTGGTTTCATCATCACTCATAATCCTCTGTCATTCTATGGGGACACTGTCTCCCTCCTCCCCATCTTTGTCATCTTTGAAGAAGAAAGGTTGCCACATTGATGAGATGGCTGCCTTGCTCCAATTCAAGCACAGCTTTGTGATCAACACTAATCAGTGTGATGATGATGATCATCGTAATCTGTTATCATGGCAAGAAGGGGCGACTGCTGCTCGTGGGAGGGTGTTGAATGTGATGAACAAACTGATCATGTAATCGGCTTAGACTTGAGTAACAGTTGCCTCTATGGTTCCATAAATTCCAGCAGCTCCCTCTTTACCCTCACTCACCTCCAAAGGCTGGACCTCTCCTTCAATGACTTCAACTCTTCTCCCATACCATCCGCAATCGGAAACCTCTCAAGCCTCACTCATCTCAACCTGTCTGGTTCTAGCTTTACTGGCCGAATCCCACACGAACAGCTCTCCAAAATCACCACTTTGGTTTCCCTTGATCTCTCTCTCTATTTTGATTATTACTACCCATCACTCGGAATAGTTCAACAATTGACATTAAGTGAGCTCCATCAATCATACATGAACATCTCTTCTCTTGATGACTATACCTCGCTTGGCTTGGAGCTTCACAGTTTGGAACGGCTAGTTCAACACATGAGCAATTTGAAGGAGCTCCGTCTATCATACGTGAACATCAGCTCCTCTTCAGGGGTGCTTGACCTCCTCTCAAATTTTTCAGCTTTAGAATCTTTGCATCTTGCTGGTTGTGGACTGGAGGGTGAGTTTCCTGGGGCCATTTTCAATCTCCCAAAGCTCAAGATGCTCAATCTACATGGCAATTATGATCTCAAAGGCTATTTGCCTAACTTCCGTTTAGGGAGTCCTCTTAAATCATTGTGGCTCTCTCATACTAGTTTTGGAGGAGTGTTGCCTCCTTCCATTGGAAATCTTGCCTCTTTGGAAGAACTAGAGATCTCCTATTGCAATTTTACAGGGAAGCTTCCGGTGTCACTCGGTAATCTTACTCAACTTGTTTCTTTAGGGCATAATATTTGGAAGGGTAATCACTTCAGCTTTCATAGTCTTACTACAACTTCGTTGTCTTGGATTGGTAAGCTCACCAAACTCACTTATTTAGACCTTGGAGATATGAACTTGAGGGGTGGGGTTCCATCTTGGCTCATGAACCTCACTCGACTTACTCAGCTATCTATGAACGATAACCGGTTTAGTGGTCCAATCCCTTCTCGGCTTATGTGCCTCCCTCAACTTGCGAATATTGACTTGTCTCACAATCAATTAACTAGTGAAATCCCATCCAATTTTAATAACCTAATTCAAACATTGGACCTTTCGTCCAATAATTTGGAAGGCTCTATTCCTACAAATCTATCTAATGTCCATAGCCTTCAGACACTTTCACTTGATCATAATAGATTCATTGGCTCAGTGGAGCTAAGCTTATTCTCTCACCTCAAATATTTGAATTCTTTAATTTTGTCATATAATAAATTGTCATTGAGCCTAAAAAATGTTACCACAAAAAATGTCATCTACTTCTCAAACTTGCAATGGTTAGGATTGGCGTCATGCAATCTATCCGAATTTCCTACATTTGTACTCAACAATAAAAACCCATTCCATCATCTAGATCTTTCGGACAACAATCTTAGAGGCCATATTCCTCAATGGATTTTTGATCTCGGTCAAAATACTACTTATGGCCTTTATTTGAACCTCTCTTATAACTTTTTAACTGGTTTTGAACGAGATCATCCTCTCTTTCATCCTCGGGTAGGCATAAGAACTTTAGACCTTAGGCATAATTTGCCACAAGGATCTCTTCCAATCCCACCACCGTTTAGATTCTTTAGTTCCTACCTAATTTCAAATAATAGTTTTTCTGGAGAAGTTTCACATCTCATTTGCAATTTCACATCTCTTATGCATCTTGATCTATCATTCAACTGTTTGGGTGGAAAGCTTCCCCAATGTTTGAGCCATTTCAGCGATTCTCTTTCATTGCTGGATTTGAGAGGAAACAAATTTGATGGAAATATTCCGTCAGCATGGAGAAATGGGTGCCAACTGAGAATGATTAGTATGAGCAAAAATCAATTGCAAGGGAAATTGCCTAGATCATTACTCAAATGTGCATTACTGGAATTCATTGATTTTGGTAGCAACCAAATAATTGATATTTTTCCATTTTGGTTAGCAACACTTAATCAGTTGAGCGTTCTTAAATTGCAATCTAATAGTTTGCATGGTGTCATTAATGATGATTTTGGATTCTCAGCCCTCCGAATCATCGACTTATCCAACAATAGTTTCGGAGGGAAGCTGCCATCAAAGTTCATTGACACTTTGAATCCCATGAGAGCCTTAAATGTAAGTCACAAGCTGGAATACATGGAGCAGACATTGCAACCGAATAGCTATTGGGTCATTGAAGAATTTGGCCCATTTGATTACTCAATAACCATGCATAACAAGGGTTTTGAAATGAACTATATGAAGATTCCAGATATTTTTTGTGGTATAGATTTCTCCTCCAACAATTTTGAAGGGCAGATTCCTGACACGTTTGGAGATCTTGCGGGGCTTCAGTTGCTAAATCTTTCTAGAAACAATCTCAGCGGTCACATACCATCTTCTTTCTCAAACATGAAGAATTTAGAGTGTTTGGATCTCTCCCAAAACCAACTCTCAGGACAGATTCCTACCAAGCTCACAAAACTCACTTACCTTTCATCATTTGACGTGTCATTTAACGATCTCTCTGGCCCTATACCAAAAGGAAATGAGTTCTGTACCTTTGACTCCAAATCATATGAAGGGAATCCTAGATTGTCCCTTGAAACTTGGAATAAGCAATGTGGAAATGCAAGGTCTTTGCCTCAACTTCAGCAGCCTCCATCCATCACAGAAGAAGATGACACCTCAGAATATGACTTAAAAATAAAGTGGGTCATAATTTCGATTGGATTCCTAAGTGGTTTGGTTGGTGGAGTGATCGTTGGGATTGAGTTGACTACTAGAAAACACTATTGGTTCGTCAAGAAGTTTGCAAGGATGCAGAGCCGATGGTGTGCATGAGAGGAGAATCATTCTCGGTTGTGTTTGGAGTAAACAGAAATAAATGGCTGTGGATGTGTTTGTACTTTGCAGTATCAGTGTTTTGGGTATTCTCTGTTGTGTATTTTTTTATTGTCAAGTGATTCATGCATTGAAATGTAAGAAAGATATGCTCTTTTGTGGCTTATTACTCAGACTGAAGAAGCTTTTTTGAGTATTTGTCGGTTCGTCGGATATCATTCTGTTAATTTGTTGGTTACTCTGAATGGGTAACTGCCAAGAATCTGAATTGTTAATTTAGGCTTGTAAATTTCAAATTGAAAAAGTTTTTTTTCGTTTTTCTTTTTAAAACTAGCCAGAGAAAAAGAACATGAGTTGCTTTTGCAAGCACACATGCAGTGTTAAAGTTTCGTGTAATTGTTTTAAGTTACATTTTTAACAGTTCAAATCAGTGTCTTAAAATGATGACTTTACTGAGCTTAAGTGGTTTTTACTGCCGGTTTTTTAGTTTGCATTTTTGTTTGAGTACAGCAAAAAGTCATCCTAAAAAGAAAATGGTTAATTTGATGCTTTTTTTTAGGCAGGGAAATTGACCACAAGTTTGTATGCAACTCTTCCCTGCTCCAGAAAAAGGTAATTTTTGATGCTTTATTTTTCTCAGAGGGAAATTGCTTTTTTTGTGTGTTAGAAAAATGTTTTTTAGTTCAACAAGTTTTACATTATACTCTTCCAGAAATTTTGCCTCAAAGAGCCAAAAAAAAAACAAACAAACTTGTTAGTCACCCATCACACACTCCTGCCGTCAACATGGAAAAATAGTAGTTGACTTGGTCTTTTTTCCATCAAAATAATTAAAAAATAAATAAATGTTATCAATTATTCCCCTGACAAAAAAATTAAGTATTTCTTGTTGACTTCGTCCTTTCCCTTCAATAATTAAGGTGTGATTGCTGCTCTGGGCCTCTGAGGGGGGGGGGGGGGGGGGGGGGGTGGGGTAAGTAAATACTAATGAATTTTACTTATTAAGTAGAACACAATTATTTGATGAGAACTAGCTTTTATTATACCTAAACTTATTTGTCACACATTAAACACTCCCAGCCAGCCGCCAACATGGAAAATGGGAGTGGACTTTACTTGGTACTTTACATGGAAAATGGGATGGGAATGAACTTTGCCCATCACACAATCCTGCAGTCAATATGGAAAAAAAGTTCTCTTTCATTATTTTAAGCCCAACCAAACATTTTTCTTCTTCTTCTTCTTCTTCTTATAACCATTTTAGGAACTAATAGTGTTTGAATATGGAGTCATCCTTTTGCTTGGTTGTGTTGTTTTCATCATCACTCATACTCCTCTGTCATTCTATGGTGGCACACTGTCTCTCCTCCCTACTGGCACCGTCACCACCATTGTCGTCTGTGAAGAAGAAACGTTGCCACGATGATGAGATGGCTGCCTTGCTCCAATTCAAGCATAGCTTTGTGATCAGCACCAGTACCTGCAATGACAATGACTGGAATTATGCTCCTCCGGAACCTAAAGCAGAATCATGGAAAGAAGGTGGCGATTGCTGCTTCTGGGATGGTGTGGAGTGTGACGAACAAACTGATCATGTCATCGGCTTAGACCTCAGTCACAGTTGCCTCTTCGGGTCCATAAGCTCCGGCAGCTCCCTCTTTAGCCTTACTCACCTCCAAAGGCTTGACCTCTCCTTCAATGACTTCAACTCTTCTCCCATACCATCTGCAGTCGGAAACCTCTCAAGTCTCACTTATCTCAATCTGTCCGATTCGAGCCTAACTGGCCAAATCCCACAACAGCTCTCCAATATTTCCACTTTGGTTTCACTTGATCTATCTAATAATCTCGGTTTGGAACTTCAACAGTTGATCAACGTCTCTTCTTCTGGGGACCTTCGCTCAAATTTCTTGTCTTTGGAATCTCTTGATGTTTCTTGGTGTGATCTGAAGGGCGAGTTTCCTGTGGCCATTTTTGATCTCCCGAAACTCAAGATGCTCAATCTAAGTAACAATGACGATCTTAAAGGCTATTTGCCCGACTTCCATGTAGGGAGTCCTCTTACATCGTTGCGGCTCTCTCATACAAGTTTTGGGGGAGTGTTGCCTCCCTCCATTGGAAATCTTGCCTCTTTGGAAGATATAGACATCTCCAATTGCAATTTTACCGGGAAGCTTCCGATGACACTCGGTAATCTCACTCAGCTTGTTTCTTTTAATTTATGGGGTGCTAAATACTTCAGCGCCGGTAATGACTGGTTCGTCCCTCATAGTAATCACTTCAGCCCAGATAGTCTTACTAGTACTTCATTATCCTGGATTGGTAAGCTCACCAAACTCACTCATTTGAAAGTTCCACACTTGAACTTGACAGGTGAGATCCCGTCTTGGCTCGCGAACCTCACTCAGCTCATACACATCGACTTGTCTCACAATCAGTTTACCGGTCAAATACCATCCAATTTTAGTCCCCTACTTGAGAGGTTGGACCTTTCGTATAACAATTTGGAAGGCACTATTCCTACAAATCTATCTTGTCTTCGTCACCTTCATAGTCTTTCACTTGATCATAATAGATTTGTCGGATTGGTGGAGCTAAGCTTATTCTCTTCCCTCAAAAATTTAACTTCATTTATCATATCGCATAATAATTTGTCGTTGAACCTAACCAATATTAGTTCAAAAAATCTCAACTTTCCAAACCTACAATTTTTAGGATTGGCTTCTTGCAATCTATCTGAGTTTCCTACGTTCTTGCATCACAACAAAAGACCATTTGAACACCTTGATCTTTCCAGTAATAGTCTTAGAGGTCAAATTCCTCCATGGATTTGTGATCTTGGTCAGAATTCTAAAACTGGCCTCTATCTGAACCTCTCTCATAACCTTTTAACGGGTTTTCAACAAGAACATCCTCTCTTTCATCCTCGGGTTAGAATAAGAAGTTTAGACCTTAGGAATAATAAGCTACAAGGATCTCTCCCAATCCCACCATCTTCCTCCACCTCCACTTTTTCAACTTTCCTGGTTTCAAACAACAGTTTGTCAGGTGAAGTGTCACAACTCATTTGTAATTTCACTTCCCTTTTGCATCTTGATTTGTCATTCAATAGTTTGAGTGGAAAGCTTCCCCAATGTTTGAGTCATTTTAGCAATTTTCTTTCATTGCTGGATTTGGGAGGAAACAAGTTTTCTGGAAATATTCCGTCAATGTGGAAAAATGGATGTTACCTGAAAATGATTAGTATGAGCCACAATCAATTACAAGGGCAGATACCTAGGTCATTAGCAAATTGTACATGGCTGAAATTTGTTGATTTTGGTAACAACCAAATAACTGATACTTTTCCGTTTTGGCTGGGAAGAATTCGAGTGTTGAATGTCCTTATATTGCAATCAAACCGTTTTTATGGTGTAATTAACAATGACTTTGGATTCTCAAACCTTCGAGTCATCGACTTATCCAACAACACTTTTAGAGGAAATTTGCCATCAAAGTTTGTTAACACCTCGAATCCCATGAGAGCGTTACTTTCAAGTCGCATTATGAAATACATGGAGCAGACATTGGAACCGAATGCCATTTGGGGTTTTGAAGAATTCGGCCCATTTGATTACTCAATAACCATGCATAACAAGGGTTTGGACATGAACTATATGAAGGTTCCGGATACGTTTTGTGGCATAGATTTCTCCTCCAACTATTTTGAAGGACAGATTCCTGATGTGTTTGGACATCTTGCGGGGCTTCAGCTGCTGAATCTTTCCCGAAACCATCTCAGCGGTCACATACCATCTTCCTTTTCAAACATGAAGAATTTAGAATCTTTGGATCTCTCCCGAAACCAACTCTCGGGACATATTCCAATGGAACTCACAAAACTCACTCCTCTTTCATCACTTGATGTGTCATTTAACAACCTCTCTGGCCCTATACCACAAGGAAACCAGTTCTGTACCTATGACTCCAAATCATATCAGGGGAATCCGGGATTGTTTCTTGAAACTTGGAGTAAGCAGTGTGGCAATGCGAGATCTTTGCCTCAACCACAGCAGCCTCCATCCACTACGGATGATGATGATGATGGCCTTAAAATAAAGTGGATGATAATATTGACTGGATTTGCCAGTGGTTTGGTTGGTGGATTGATCTTTGGGAACGAGCTGACTACGAGAAAACACTATTGGTTCGTCAAGACTTTCGCAAGTATACAGAGATGGTATGCGCGAGATCAGGGGAATCTTAGGTCCTAATCATTTTCAGCTGTGTTTGGGGTCGGAATGAGAAATAAATGGTCGGGGACGTGTTTGTACTTCGCAGTATTAGTGTATGCAATGAGTTGTAAGAATGCATTTGCTGTTTTATGGCTTATTACTCAGATTGAAGAAGCTTTTCTGATCATTTTTTTTTTGATAATTGGATATCATTTTCTGTTAATTGTTGGTTCATTGGATATCATTCTGTTCTATGTTCTTTTTAAAACCAATCAGAAAGAAAATGAGCATGAGTTGCATTTGCACACATGCAGTAAACAACCTACCATACAGAAATGTACACATTGTTCTGAGATATTACTTGTCTGTTTTGGAACCACATTTCTACCTAGCCTTAGAGTTCTTCTGTAATCCTTTTACAGAAAATCAGCATTTGAAAACGATAGGTTTTTAAAACACTAAAACTGAACTCTAAGGTTGATGGCAAAGGGACTAAAAACCTTTTATAAGCCCTCCTATCTAGGGAGTTCTCCCTAATTTTAAGTTTATAAAAAGAATATGAAGTAGTTCGTATTATGTTTTATACTAATAAAATAATTGTATTTGTATTAAAATAACATGCTAAAGTGTAGAAGTATTTATGTAAAAGTTATTTTTTTAATGTGATATTATGATACTCCGTACTACTCTTAGTTCAGTATCGATTTAGTCTTTTCACAGAAGACCACCCGTCTGGGAGACTGGGACTCGTCTAGTGCTTCACCAAATTTAGAAGATCTTCAAAAGAGACTATCGGTCTAAGACTGGACTAGTCCTAAGGACTTCTTGGGTCCCAATTTTTTTCGGTTCGATCCCAATCCATCCCGGTAGATCTTTTTGGTCCTAGTCATTTTGATCATCTCTATTTCCGGTTCAAATCTCAATCTATTCGGATCTGTGTTTTTGGTCTTAGTCTTTTTGTTCATCCCTACCAATGGGCTTTGAGTTACGGAGTATGTACAAGCACGGAGTACTATTCTATGGAGGGTGAAGGTTAGTCGAGTCTTTTCACTTTTGGAATTTTGTCCCCCACATGTCTTGGTCAGTGAACTAAACTCCAATAATGTGGGGTTGGTGTAGTGTTTGTCACTTAGAAATCTTTCGACAATTTATATTTAGAGCATGCTACATGTGCCCCAAAATTTGTACCCCATTTGTACGTCAAATGTATGCACCAACATTTTGATAGTTCACACTGACACAAAGTGTTGGTGCGTTAACAAAAATTTGCACTGACACAAAATGTTGATGCGCTAACAAATATTAGCATTACACCAACACAAAATGATCATTTATAATGAAGTGCTTTCCCAAAATGTTTTTTTCTAATTAAATGTGTATTTGATTTGAAATTTAAAAGATATTTTATAAGTTTTAAATAATTCATGAATTATTTATAGTCAATGTATTTTTTAAATTTTACATTTAGTTGTATAGAAATGACCACTAATTATTTACAGACTGTTTCGAGAATATACTTGATCAAAATACCAAAATATCTCTCAATTAATCATCATTCGAGTAACATTATTTACGAAGGATTATCTTGGAAATAAATCTCAATTATAGAGAACCACATAGGTAATTAAAACTTATTGAGGACTGATTTGGGAAAACACCTTATTACAAAGGACTATTTTTAGAATTTACTCTTTTTTTTAACACTAAAAATTTAAAAAATATTTGGTTGCTGATCTGTTATTTGTGATTTTTTTGTGGATCTAAAATTAGTTTGTAGATTTTGAGATTTGTCAAAATTTGATACAATATCAAAAATATCTTTACGAGTCGGTGATAAAATTAATCTGTTTGTTTTATCGAAATATATATTCCACAAACCATTGGAAATATTTTTTTATATCAAGCATGAATTAAATGGTGTTGAGGTATTTTGATTAAATAATTGAAACAAAATAAAAAGAAAAAAAAAGAGATGTAACTTGGTGGAAACAACCAAGAAGTGCAGGAGAGCCTTTAGGAGTTTTGTCTTCTTCTCTTGGAGGGTGTGAGCTAGATTATTCTCCATTATTGTGTATTTGGCTATTTAAAAGCCATGCATGGCACAATACGGTTGAGGAGGGGAGAAAAAGGAGAGGAAGGTTAAAGAGAGAGCTGTTACACAAGATATCACCAATATTGTGTGAGTGAGTGTAGGGAGTAACTGGTTTTTAGTTACTCGGAAAATACATCCGGGTGTAGGGTGTGAAAAGTCTGTTTATAAGTGTCTGGTATTTAGCACTTGTAAACAGGGAGAGTTTTTTGTATATCGTTCTGAAATAGTGAAGATATAATTTTTCTCTCATATATTCTCCTTGTGTTTGTTCTCTCATTTTTCTGGTGTTCTCAATATTTTTCGGTATCTTACGCGCTTAAAATCCCAACAAATGGGTTTTCAAATATTTTAATCCATGAAAGAAGGCATGGGGTGCTCTGTTTTGTCCCAACTTCCAATCCCACCAATCAAAATGTGACACATTACCCACTCATCCCTTTATTTATGCTCTCCTATCCTACCCCTGAAGTGACTTTGTGTTAAATGAGAGGGTGGATTGGGTTATGTGTCACATTTTAATTGTTGGGAGAGGGGGTGCCAATCACCTGTGACCTGTAATATTTGTGTTGTACTGCTCATACTTGAAAGTGTTTTGTTTTTTTTTCTGAATCACTAATTATAACTCTATTATAGTGTAGTATCTATTCATTTTTTTCTCAACCTATTGAAATTCGCAAAATTATCTTCCTCCATTGATGTTGGAACAACCACAATGATGTCACTGGACCACAACCTGTTTTGCAATATCCTCTTTTATATCACTGAGTTTTATGATGTCTATATCATAGTCATGTAAACTACTGGGTAAAACTCTGTTTTGCCTACCATGATTTAAAGCCCCACAAAACCATTTTCCCCCCTCTCATAACCATACTCTCAAGTCTCAAAAGATGAAAATGGAGTGTTGTTGTTGTTGTTGTTGTTGTTCATTTTACTTGTTCTTGCTTTCATCATCGCTCATACTTCTCTGCCAGTCTACGGAGGCGATGTCTCCGTCTTCCCCACTATCATCTTTGGAGAAGAAACGTTGCCACGACGATGAGATGGATGCCTTGCTCCAATTCAAGCACACCTTTCTCAACACCAATCACTTTGTGGAACATGTTGGTGGGTATGTACTTAGGCACTGTGTTTCAAAGCCGAAACTGGAGTCATGGGAAGAAGGACGTGATTGTTGCTCGTGGGAGGGCGTGGAGTGTGATGAACAAGATGATCATCATGTCGTCGGCTTATACCTGAGAAACAGTTGCCTCTATGGTTCCATAAACTCCACTAAGCGCCCTCTTTACCCTCACTCACCTCCAGAGGCTTGACCTCTCATGGAATGACTTCAACTCTTCTCACATACCGTCGTCGATTGGAAACCTCTCAAATCTCACTCATCTCAACCTGGAGGGTTCGAAATTCAGTGGCCAAATCCCACAACAACAGCTCTCGAAGATCACCACTATGGTTTCCCTGGACTTGTCTTCGAATTTCGGGTTGGAAGTTGGTAGTCTGAAAGGACTTGTTCAATATATGATCAACTTGAAGGAGCTCCATCTATCGTACGTGAACATCGCTTCTTCAGCTCTACCTCGCGACCTCCTCTCTAATTTCTCGTCTTTGGAATCTCTTGATCTTTATGAGTGTGGGCTGAAGGGAGAGTTTCCCGTGGCCATTTTCAATCTCCCGAAGCTCAATCTAAGTGGCAATCGAGATATCAAAGGCCATTTGCCCAACTTCCATTCGGGGAGTCCTCTTAAATCGTTGAGGCTCGATCATACGAGTTTTGGGGGAGTGTTGCCTCCCTCCATTGGGAATCTGGCCTCTTTGGAAGAGATAGAACTCAACCATTGCAATTTTACAGGGAAGCTTCCAAAGTCACTTGGTAATCTTGCCCAACTTGTTTCTTTGGATTGTAGCAATATATGGGATGGTAATCACTTCAACTCTGATAGTCTTACAACTTCTTCCTTGTCATGGATTGGTGAGCTCACCAACCTCACTAAATTGACCCTTGGAGGCATGAACCTCACTCGACTTACTCACCTATATATCAATGATAACCAACTTATCGGTACGATCCCTTCTTGGCTTGTGACCCTACCTCGCCTCCAATTTATAGACTTGTCTCACAACAAACTAACTGGTCCAATCCCTACCAAATTTAACCACCAAATTGAGTATTTGGACCTTTCGTCAAATAATTTGGAAGGTTATATTCCGACAAATCTATCAACTCTCTATAACCTTAGTCTCTGTTCACTTGAGCATAATAGATTAGTTGGCTCAGTGGAGCTAAACTTATTCTGTCACCTCCAAAATTTACACTCCTTATTTCTATCATATAATAAGTTGTCATTAACCATAAAAAACATTAGCACAAAAAATGTCAGTTGCTTTCCAAGTTTACGGCATTTAAAACTGGCCTCCTGCAATCTATCTGAATTTTCTACACACCTGCACAACAACAAAAGTACATTAGAAGAACTTGATCTTTCTGACAACAATCTAAGAGGCCTAATTCCTTCATGGGTTTTAGAGTCAAGTCAAGATACTAATTATGGCATCGTTTTGAACCTCTCTTATAATCTTTTGACTGGTTTTGAACGAATTCATCCTCGGGCAAAAATAAATACTCTAGACCTTAGGAATAATATGCTACAAGGACCTCTTCCAATCCCACCACCTTCTTCTTCCTCCTTTTTCTCATCCTACCTTATTTCAAACAACAATTTGTCAGGTCAAGTCTCAAATCTCATTTGCAATTTCACATCCCTTAGATTTTTTGATCTGTCATTCAATGGTTTGAGTGGAAAGCTTCCCCAGTGTTTGAGCAATTTGAGTGACTCCCTTTCACTATTGGAACTAAGAAAGAACAAATTTGATGGAAATATTCCGTCAACATGGAGAAATGGATGTGGGCTGAGAATGATCAGTATGAGTCACAACATGTTACAAGGGGAGTTGCCGAGGTCATTAGCCAATTGTACATCGCTGGAGTTTGTTGATTTTAGCAACAACCAAATAAGTGATACTTTTCCATATTGGCTGGGAAGAATTACACCCTTGAGCGTCCTTATCTTGCGATCCAACACTTTGAATGGCATCATTAATGATGATGGTGATTATGGATTCTCAAACCTTCGAGTCATTGACTTATCAAAGAATAATTTTAAAGGAAAACTGCCATCAAAGCTCATCGACACCTCGAACCCCATGAGAAGCTCAAATGCAAGTCACACATTGGAATACATGGAGCATAACTTGCAACTATATGCCATGGGGGTGTATGAAGATTTCAGTCCATTTGATTACTCAATGACCATCTATAACAAAGGTTCGGAAATGAGTTATCCTAAGATTCTACATAATTTTTATGTAATAGACTTCTCCTCCAACAACTTTGAAGGGCAGATTCCTGATGCATTTGGAGAGACCGCGGGTCTTCATCTGCTGAATCTGTCTAGAAACCATCTCGGTGGTCACATACCATCTTCTTTCTCTAACATGAAGAGTTTAGAGTGTTTGGACCTCTCCCAAAACAAACTCTCAGGACAGATTCCTATAGAGCTTGCGGAACTCAATTTTCTTTCATTGTTTAACATGTCATATAACAATCTCTCCGGCCCTATACCACAGGGAAAGCAGTTCTGCACCTATGACTCCACATCATATGAAGGGAATCCTAGATTGTTCATTGAACCGTGGAGCAAGCAGTGCGGGAATGCGAGGTCTTTGCCTCAAATGCAGCAGCCTCTATCCCCTTCAAATGAAGATGATGACTCGGAGTCTGGCTTTAAAATAGAGTGGATGATAATATCGATTCGAATTGTAGGTGGTTTGGTTGTCAGAGTGATCCTTGGGAACGAGTTGATTGCAAGAAAACAGTATTGGTTCGCCAAGACTTTGGCAAGGATTGGGATACGGTAGGCCTGAGATGAGGGGAAGCATTCACAGTCGATCAGTTGTGTTTGGATTTAGCCTTTAGGAAGAGAAATAAAAGGTTGTGTTTGTACTTTGCAGTGTTTGTGTTTTTGTGTTTATAATCCTCTATGTTCTCGTGTGTTGGGTATTTTTTTTAAAAAACTATCAAGTGATGCATCATGCAATGAGTTGTAAGAAAGAATCTGCTGTTTTAGTTTGTGGGTTATTACTCACATTCAAGAATTTGGGAACTGTGTTTCGGTTAAGAGTTTGGAGTGATTTTTTAACAGTTCAAATCAGCGTTGGGAAGACGACGTGCGGCTTTAAAAAAACGATAAATCTAAGCTCTAACGTGTTGCGTACGAGCTTTCCAAAAGACAATGCCCTTAACAGCTCCTATAATAAGCCCTGCTTCTCCCCTTGATGCATTTTGAGTCTACTTAGAATAGTTGTCTCAAAGGAATCCATTGTATGTAGCATTTTTCAATACTCTAATTCTCTCAATTCAAACAAGTGCAATTTTTGAGCCATTTTTGTTTCAACTGCAAATTTGTCAAAACAAATGTCACCTACATGGTTGGCCCTTTGACATGAGCATTAGAGTTTAGTTTAGTCGTTTTAAGAATGTTGTTTAAAACCAGCGTTTATTTGTAATATTTTATAACATTGGTCTACTCCATTGTTCAAAACTTAATTATTCAAACATTCGTGCTAATCAAAATCGGTGTCCCCAATCAAAGTCGGCATGGTATTCGAGGTATAATAATTTTGGTAAATAACGGTGGGGTTTTAAACAAATTTTTTACTACGGAGTACTATATACGGAGTATGAGTAAATTTAAGAAACGATTGGCTCTTTGGTGTATCTTGGATGCATACCATTTGTGGATCTTCTCTCATTAAAAAAATCTTAAAAAACAGATGCTTATTATATGTGAGTAAGAAGTAAATACTTAGTTTTCTCATATGTAGATCCGTAGCAAACACTCGAATATATTCCTTAACATTAGTAATTCTTTTGACATCAGTGCGTTAATGTTTAGAATTAAGTTTTTGAGAATTACTAATGTGGAATACGTAGTATATTCAAGTGTTTAGCCTTCAAATTTAAAAGAAAAAAGATTATTTGCTTTTTGGGGACGGTTCCCATGACATTGTCATTGCCCGGCCGGCAATGTCACGAGATGACCAGGGGGTGCTCCGGTGTCCCGTTCGTAAAATTAACGGTTCATATCCCTCCTAATTTCCCCGGTAAACCCTCCACCTTGTCTCGACCCGAACACACTCTTATTCCTTTTAATTATACTCCACAAGTTAATTTTGACTTTAGAGTGAAAAAATGAAAAATTGAAAGTGAAATCAAATTGTACAATGGGAATTGCAATTCTGCTCAAATGATTGGACCCTCGTTAATGTCATCAACTCTCGAGATCTTTTTTTCTAAGAAAATTGTGATTCACTGATTTAAATTCTATTTTTCTTCGTTTGGTGACATTGGTGGAAGAAAAAAATATTTTCAAATATTTTCTCTCAATCGAGAAAAAATTAGACCTGGCAAAATGGTCGGTCAGGTCGGGTTCGGGTTCGGTATAATCGGGTTCGGGTTATTTCAGGTTCGGGTCATTTCGGGTTCGGGTCTAAGAGTGTTTGTTCATGACCCAGAGTTATCGGGTTCGGGTTAACCCAACGGGTTAAGAGGCGTATTTAAAAATTAAAAATTTTTCTATTTAGAGATCATGTGATCCGAGCATTATTCAAAACAAAGAACGAAATCATAAAAGTTTGCAGTTCTATTTGCAACATACCAAAAGAGAATTGTAATATGCCCAAAAAATCACCTTTTTGCAGCATACCAAAAAATTGCACTAGATGAAAAAAATTGAAGATTCTTTCAACATACCCAAAAATATACATACGTTATAAGGATGAAATAAGATTAAAAATTCTACCATTGTTCTTGTGTCTTCTCACCATTTTGATTGAGTCGGCATCTAATATCGACGAATGGTGGAAGAGTGGAAGAACGATACACACACATACACACCCACATAAAGAGAGAGAGAGAAGGGAGAGAGAGACTGGAATGTCACTAGATTTAGATTAGGTTTTACGTCTTTTGAGTTTTGAGTAGCCTGATGGGTATATCATATTTTAAATGAATATATAAAACTAAATAACTAATAAAAATAAACAATTAAGTGCATAACCCGTCGGGTCAAACCCAACCCGACCCGTTCTGACCCAAAAATTTAACGGGTCTTCGGGTTCAGGTCATTTCGGGTTCGGGTCGCAAAATCAATGTTCAAATTTTGTCAGGTCTAAAAAAAATGATTTCTATTAGAATTCGAAGAAAATGTTCATTCTCTCTCTACCCGTCCCCCACCCCCACCACCTCAATACCCCTTTCCCTCCCACCCCACCTCTCATTTTGGAAAAACTAGTAGAATCAAATAAAATTTCGCTCTGGAAAGTTTAATAAAAACTTAGTCGAATGAGATTAGAAAATTTTTAAAAAAGTTCTTTCAGAAAAGTTTAATACAAAACTTAGTCGAATGAGATTAGAAAACTACAAATTTCTTTCAATCCCAAAAATCAAATCATATTAAAAAAAAGTTTTAAATATAACTGCAACTTTCTTGCGGCAATTTGTTGAAACCAAGAGGGAAACACTGAGAAGTCCAAGCTCATCCAGATTTCAATCCCAACAAAAAGGTTATGCCTTTTTGCTTTAATAGATTGATAAAGTGTATAATTAAATACTCTATTCCACAAATACATGTTTGAGAATCTGAGAAATTTTGAATCGGATTAGGGCAAAATTCCTACACAATTATATTGCGCATTTATACATTCTCCCTTCGAATTTGAGATCTAACAACTCAAATTTTAGGGTTCCAAATAGAACAATTTGGCTTCTTTGGTGGGTTCTTGAAAGTTAGAAGTGGGGAGGAGTGTGAATGTTTGTGATGGGATGACCAGAACTGGTGTTTCCATTGCCCCCTGTCTGTTTCCCGTTGCACAAAAGTCAAGAAGTCCATATTATATATATGGTCTTTTTCAATTCCCTTTCATAGTATAAAATGGCCTAACAAGTTCACATTATAGTACAGCCATACCGAGTATGTTTTTTCTATGTGGTATAAATCTGAGAGCCTTATCATCAGCTATATATGGAATTATACCTCTTTGTACCTTAAAGAACAACAGTTGTTGTAAGAGTGTTTTTTTGTGTGTTTGTTTGATGATGGTGTCTTCAACTAACTTGGTCTTGTTGTTGTTGTTGTTACTGTTTTCATCATTGCTCATACTCATCTGCCTCACATCTCATTGTTCCATGGTGGTGGCAAAGCCACTGTCTTTGAAGAAGAAACGTTGCCGCGACGAAGAGTTGGCTGCCTTGCTCCAATTCAAGCGCGGCATGGTTGCCCCCACCGATCCCTGTTATGATGACCCAGTAGCAGGAACATGGAGAGAAGGAGATGACTGTTGCTCGTGGGATGGCGTGGAGTGCGATGCCCGAACAGATCATGTCATCAGCTTGGACCTGAGTGAATGTTGCCTCTATTCTTTCATAAACTCCAGCAGTTCCCTCTTTACCCTCACTCACCTCCAGAGGATCGACCTCTCATGGACTTATTACATGGACAGCTCTCCTCACATACCGTCCGCTATCGGAAACCTCTCCAGTCTCACTCATCTCAATTTGTCTAATTCCAACTTTGTTGGCGAAATCCCACGAGAGCTCTCAAATATTACCACTTTGGTGTCCCTTGATCTATCTTCTTATGGAAATAACTATCTAGTAATGAAACTCCAAAGTTTGGAAGGACTAGTTCGACACATGATCAATTTGAAGGAGCTCCATCTATCATTCGTGAACCTCCCTTCTTCTTCTTCTTCTTCAGGTGTGCCTCACCTCCTCTCAAATTTCTCATCTTTGGAATCTCTACGACTTGGTGGTTGCGAACTACAAGCTGACTTTCCCGTGGCCATTTTTGATCTTCCAAAACTCAAGATGCTCGATATAAGTGGCAATCGTGATCTCAAAGGCTATTTGCCCAACTTCCGTTTGGGGAGTCCTCTTAAATCGTTGCTGCTCTCTGATACAAGTTTTGGGGGAGCGTTGCCTCCCTCCATTGGAAACCTTGCCTCTATGGAACAACTAGAAATCTACAATTGCAAATTTACAGGGAAGCTTCCGATGTCACTAGGTAATCTTACCCGAATTGCTACTTTCGAGGAAGCAATGATCTGGGAAGGTAATCACTTCAGCCCCGATAGTCTTACTAAAACTTCATTGTCATGGATCGGTAAGCTCACCAAACTCACTGGTTTGGACTTCAGAGATATGAGCTTGATGGGTGAGATCCCATCGTGGCTCATGAACCTCACCCAACTTACTTACCTATACATGGATCGTAATCGACTTACTGGCCCGGTCCCTTCTTGGCTTATGAGTCTCCCTCAGCTTGTGCGTATCGATTTGTCTCATAATCAATTAACTGGTCAACTCCTGTCCCAATTTAGTCACCTAATTGAGGAGTTGGACGTTTCATATAATAATTTGGAAGGTTCGCTTCCCACCAATCTATCCACTCTCAATAACCTTTATGATCTTTCACTTATGTCTAACAGGTTTGTTGGTTCCCTGGAGCTAAGCTTATTCTCTCGCCTTAAAAGTTTATATAGTTTAGGTTTGTCATATAATAATTTTTCATTGAGTGTAAAAAACATTAGCACAGAAAATGTCGTCCCCTTTCCAAACTTGACGTTTTTAGATTTGGCTTCATGCAATGTCTCCGAATTTCCTACATTCTTGCACACCAACAAAAATAATACAGTTTTTCATCTAGATCTTTCTGGTAACAGTATCACAGGCCAAATCTCTTCATGGGTTTTTGATCTCGGTCAAAATCTTCATGGAAATGGAATCAATTTGTACCTCTCTCATAACCTTTTGACTGGTTTTGAACGACAACATCCTCTCTTTCATCCTCGGGGTTTAATAAGAACTTTGGACCTTAGACATAATATGCTACAAGGATCCCTCCCAATCCCACCACCTCCCTCCATTTACACTTTAGAATCCTATCTAATTTCAAACAATTACTTGTCTGGAGAAGTCTCAAATCTCATTTGCAGCTTTCGAGACATTTGGCTCCTTGATTTGTCATTCAATCGATTCAGTGGAAAGCTTCCCCAATGTTTGAGCAATTTCAGCCAATCCCTTTCATCGTTGGACTTAAAAGGAAACAAATTTGAGGGAAATATTCCTTCGGCGTGGGGAAATGGATGCCAACTCCAAATGATTAGTACGAGCCACAATCAATTACAGGGGCAGTTGCCTAGGTCATTAGCCAACTGTTCCTCACTGGAGTTCGTTGATTTTGGTAACAACAAGATAACTGATACTTTTCCCTCATGGTTAGGCACAATTACTTCATTGAGTGTCCTTATCCTGCGATCTAATAGATTGCATGGTGCCATTGAAGATGATTTGGGAAGCAGTGATGGATTCTCAAACCTTCGAGTCTTCGACTTATCCAACAATAATTTCAGAGGGAATTTGCCATCAAAGTTCATTAACATGGCGAACCCAATGCGAGCCTTTAATGCAAGTCGCAAGATGGAATACATGACCGCGTACCTCCATACTTCACAGGAAGTTAACTCATTCAATTACTCAATGACAATGAATGTCAAGGGTTCTGATTTGAATTATCCCATGATTCCTGACATTTTTTGTGCCTTAGACTTCTCTGCTAACAATTTTGATGGATGGATTCCTGGTGTGTTTGGAGATCTGGCAGGGCTTCAGGTGTTAAATCTTTCTAGAAACAATCTCAGCGGTCGCATACCATCTTCTTTTTCAAACATGAAGAGTTTAGAGTGTTTGGATCTCTCCCGAAACCAACTCTCAGGACACATTCCCACAGAGCTCACAAAACTCACCTCTCTTTCATCATTTGACGTGTCCTTTAACAATCTCTCTGGCCCTATACCACAAGGAAATGAGTTCTGTACCTTTGAATCCAACCCATATGAAGGGAACCCTGGATTGTCCCTTAAGCCCTCGGATAAGCAGTGTGGAAATGCAAGGTCTTTGCCTCCACTGCAGCATCCTCCATCCCCTCCAGATGATGGCGATGACGACGACGAAGATGACTCAGAATCTGAGTTTAAAATGAAGTGGATGATAATTTCGATTGGATTCGTCAGTGGGTTGGTTGGTGGAGTGATCGTTGGGAACGAGTTGACCACAAGAAAGCACTATTGGTTCGTCAAGACTTTTGCAAAGATACAGAGATGGCAGGCAAAGATCAGTTGTGTTTCGAAAGGGAAAGAGAAATAAATGGTTGTGTGTATATATGTGTTTGTACTCCTACTTTTGCAGTATTAGTGTTTTGTTTGTTCTCTTCTGTTGAATGTTTTATTACTCGTCCAAGAATGCAATAAGATGTTAGAAAGCATCTGATGTTTTGTGTGTTAATACTAAGATTGAAAAAAGTTTTTTTTGGCGTGCAGTAATGGTTCTTGTTTTGTTGGTTCAGTTTAGTCCGGTACAGTTCAATATGGGTAACCACTAAGAATCTGAAATGTTAACTTATGCTCATTCTGTGAATTGTTTTTTTTAATAACTAATCAGAAAGAAAAAGGCATTTGCAGATATATATGCACATTAGGCTGAGAGATTATTTGTCCGTTTGGTTGAGACTTTAGAAACAAGTGAAAATTTATTCTAGGAATGAATGTGTTGGCGACAGAAGAAGGAAGCCGGGTCAAAGAAGGAAACTGAATCCCTTTGTGATTCGGTTTATCATCTTTCTTAGTTTGCTTAGTTCTTGTTATAGTAGGAATAAAAATTTACTTATATACTTTACTCTCTTCCTATATAAAGAGGGTTAAACCTTTGTATTCACAAGCCAATTCAATATACAGAAATATTTTGTCTCTTATTAATTTTTACATGGTATCGGAGCAAGTTTTGAATTCTTGAGACCTCAAACAGGCTTCTTCTCCTGCCGGTGGGCATACACAATTCAATGCCTACCGGCGGGATATATTGTAATTTTTGATTTTCTTTGATTGTTCTCCCTCACTAAAGAATATCATGAACTCCTTCAACGAAAAACATTACTGTCGAGGAATCCCGCCCAACCATCAAGGGTTATTCTACAGAGACAGACAACTCTTTCCTTAACAAGCAATAAAAAAAAGTCGGCGTTCAGGGTGTTCGAAAAGAATGACGTTCCCCCTGTTTGTTCGAATTCGGTGATGGTTCGAAAAGACTGGCGTTCCTTTACTCGACTGATTATTCGGCGGATTCGAAAAGCTTGGCGTCTCCGTTGAAGAAAAAATTGAAGTGTCTACATGAGACTTGGACAACGATGGCAGCGTCTTCCTCAAGCTTTGTTGCTTTGTTCAATCTTTTGATGTCCAATCTGGGCATGTTGAACTCCCATGCTTCAGCTTGAGGGGGGATGTTGGCGACAGAAGAAGGAAGTCGGGTCAAAGAAGGAAACTGAATCCCTTTGTGATTCGGTTTAGTATCTTTCTTAGTTTGCTTAGTTCTTGTTATAGTAAGAATAAAAATTTACTTATATGCTTTACTCTCTTCCTATATAAAGAGGGTTAGACCTTTGTATTCACAAGTCAATTCAATATACAGAAATATTTTGTCTCTTATTAATTTCTACAGAATGAAATAATTAAAGTTATTCACGATTCAATTTGTGTACGTATTACTGGTACTAATACGTGCAGTCCTGATCACTTCGAGTCTTGCACGTGAAACTTTTTTTTTAAAACTATGTGACGGTGAAGTTTGAAATTATTATCTTTTGGCCAACAAAACTTTGATATCATGTTAAAGAAATAATTAAACCAAAAACTTAATTTCGTGGTTGTTGGTTGAAGATTTTTTAAATATATTTTTCCCAAAAGATCTTTTACATTCAATTTTTTTGGTTAACTTTCAACACACTTTGATCATTAATAAATTAATTTCCTTCTTTTGACAAAACATTTGTTGTCATGTTTTCAAATCCGCAAACTTATCTCACTCTTTCGGGATAAATTTCACAAATGGTACCTGAACTTTAGCTGGAATTTCGAAGTGGTACCTGAACTTCAAATCCTTTCACAAAAATCCCTGAACTTACACAATTCTTTCACTAATGAGCCATTAGCCTGTTTCTAGGTTAACTTCCGGTCATTAGGGCCAAATTCGAATTTTATATATTTTAAAATTTTCAATTTGACCCCATTTCTTCTTTTCTTTTCTTCCACGCCCCGCCGCCGCCCGCTGGTCAAAGTCGCCGGAAAATGAACTTTTTCCGATTCCGGCGGGACCAATGTCATTCTCTTCGTCTTGAGACGAGGATCAATAATATCCAAACCATTTTGTCTAATTTGGCCTGTAACTTCTCGAATCTGAATTTTTTTACTCGAAAAAACCCTAAAATTCGAAATTGGATCCAAAATTGGGGGTTTTGCAAATCTTCATCAAATCTTGCAATTGAGGGGTCCTTGGAGGTCGCCCGGATGCCATTTGACCGCATTGGAGTTGGTGCTCGCCCTCAATTTCGCTGGATTTAGCCGGAAAACGCTCCGACCCGCCGGAAACCACCCGGACTTACTGTGCTAGACATCAGTGCTAACCAACTTACTGGCCCGATCCCATCTTCCCTTATGAACCTCACTCGACTTACTGAAATACGTATGGGTGATAATCAACTCACTGGTCCGATCTCGTCTTCCTTCACAAACCTACCTCAACTCGCTTACATGAGCTTATCTCACAATCAGTTAACTGGTCAAATCCCGTCCCAATTCAATCACCTAATTGAGTGGTTGGACCTTTCGTATAATAGTTTTGAAGGTTCCATTCCTACAAATCTATCTGCTCTCGATAAACTTGAGATTCTTTCACTTGAGCATAATAAATTAGTTGGCTCCGTTGAGCTAAGCATATTCTCTCGCTTCAAAAGTCTAACTCGTTTGGTGTTGTCTCATAATGATTTGGCATTGGCCTTTAAAAATAGTTCAAAAGATACCAACTTTCCAAGCTTAAAGGAGTTAATAATGGTTTCATGCAATCTATACGAGTTTCCTACATTGCTGTGCAACTACACAAACACATTGGAACGTCTCGATCTTTCTGAGAACAAGATGAGCGGCCAAGTTCCTTCTTGGATTTTTGACACGAGTCAAAATATTCGACACGGAGAGAACAAAATTGAAGGATTTTTGAATTGAGTGATTCTCTTCTAACACTGAATATAGGAGAGAACAAAATTGAGGGAAATGTTCCGTCGTTGTGGAGAAATGGATGCCAACTGCAAAATGATTAGTGTCAGCAACAATCTGTTACAAGGGCAACTACCAAGGTCACACTGGTCAAGTGTTCATTGTTGTCTTTTCTTGATTTTAGCAACAACAAATTTATTGACACTTTTCCATTTTGGCTAGGGATGCTTACCAAGCTGAGTGTCCTTATTTTGCGTTCCAACAAATTGTATGGCGTTATTAATGATGATTTTGAATTCTCGAACCTTCGAATCATAGACTTATCCAACAATAGTTTCGGAGGGAAGCTGCCAGCAAAGTTAATTGACACCTCCAATGTGATGAAAGGGTCAGATTCAAGTCACTTTAGGACATACATGGGGAGCACTTGGTATTTCGATTCAAGTTCGAGTGTAGATCATGATTTATTTGCTTACTCAATGACCATATATAACAAGGGTTCTGAATTGATTTATCAGAAGATTTCTGATATTTTTTGTGGCATAGACTTCTCCTCCAATAATTTCGAAGGGCAGGTTCCTCATACATTTGGAGATCTTGCGGGGCTTGAACTGCTAAATCTTTCTAGAAGCCATCTGGGCGGTCGCATTCCATCTTCTTTCTCAAACATGAAGAACTTAGAGTGTTTGGATCTTTCCCGGAACCAACTCTCAGGGCAGATTCCTACGGGCCTCACAAAACTCACTTTTCTCTCATCATTTGAAGTGTCATTCAACAATCTCTCTGGCCCTATACCGCAGGGAAACCAATTCTGTAACTATGATCCCAAATCGTATGAAGGGAATCCCGGACTGTTCCTTCAAAGTTGGAACAAGCAGTGTGGAAATGCGAGGTCTTTGCCTCAACTGTAGCAGCCTCCATCCCCTACGGGTGACGATGACTACGACGACGACTTAAAAATAGAGTGGATGATAATATCGATTGGGTTCGCGAGTGGTTTGGTTGTTGGAGTGATCCTTGGGAACGAGTTGATTGCAAGAAAACGGCATTGGTTCGTCAAGACTTTGGCAAGGATGGGGATATGGCAGGCCTGAGATCAGGGGAAGCATTCTCAATTGATCAGTTTTGTTTTGGTTTTGGAAGAGCAATAAATATAATGGTTGTGGATGTGTCTCTACTTTGTAGTGTTAATGTTTTGTATATGCAACAATCACCAAGGTTCCCATGCAACAATAAGATGTTAGAAAGCATTTGCTGTTTGGTGGCATAGTACTCATATTGAAAAGAGGTTTTTGTTTGGTTTGTTCAGCTTGGTACAGTTCAATAGGGCAACCACTAAGAATTTGAGTTGTTAATATAGGCTAATTCAGTGAATTGTTTTTTTTGAACAACTTATCAGAGAGAAGTCTTTTCACTTTTGGAAATACTAGGTGATGTTAAATGGCAACCTTAACATATATCTCGCTCATTCATTCATTTTTTAATTTAATCTTTTTTTATCAAATTTATAATTTATTGATATAATGTGGGACCATATCTTGAAGTTCAGCAGCATCACCATAGCTTTCATATATTCTTATAAATTGATGAAGGTATTAAGTTCAAATCCCAAAAAAAAAAACACTCTAAATAGGAGTCAAATATAAATAAAGTATCAAAATATGAGTTTTATGTTTTATTCCCAAAATAAGAGTTTGCACTCTCATAATATGATACCGTGTATGGACATTTCAAAATAACTTTTAGTCTTATATATTGGCATGATTGTCATTGTATATACATTTTAACTTATCTTGAGAATAAAAATATGAAACTTTTATTTGATAATTTTTTTTACTCATACTTTAGTTTAATTTTCAACCTTAAAGAGGACTTTAATTCATTATTCTTCAATAAGTTGAGAAAATATATAAAACTAGATATTTCATTTGTCCCAAAATGAACTTACCACTTTTTGTGGTTGGTTTAAAATAAAGTTCTCAATCTTTTTTAAAAATGGAATGGGGGTCCACAACAAATTTCTCTCCTCTATTCTTCCTAAAAAAGATGTCTTTGTTTGGAAACAATATGTTTTAGTAACCATTCACATTTTGAATAAAATTTTATTATAGTAAAAATATAAGTTAACTTGGAAAGAAATTAAAGCTAAATGTTGTTTTTACATACTCGTAATATTTTCAAAATATGGACCTAAATGTTGAAGTTGTTGTCAAAAGAGGCACTCAAATCATATTGTAAAAGAATTTTTAATAGTGCAAATATTAACATTTAATTTTAAAAAATTAAAATTAAACTTAAATATCATTTTCAAAATGTAAAACTAAATGATACATATGAGTTATGTCATCTCTGAAGATCTTTCTTCTTTTATTTTTAATTCATCTAAAAAATAACTTTATTTTTCTATTTAAGAAAAAAAATGCATCTCAAAAACTATATCTCCTTTTGTCAAATTGTAGAGTAGTTTCACTTTTGTAATCTTAATATCTACTTGTAAAATATAGACTTTCATCTAATGAGGAAACCTTAAGAGCACCTAATAATTTGTCCAATTTTCTAAGCATACTTCCACTTTTTAATACGGAGTACTTTTATTAAACTTTAATTAAAAGGCAGGAAGTATTACCGGACTGAGGGTGCAGTGCAATTCTTAGCGAGACCCCGACTACTTCTATGGCGGTACGGTGGCGATATACAATGATGGAGATCAACACAGGGGCGCCGGAGGGAAATTCAAGAAGCCGCCACCCAGTCCATGCGCCGGTGAATTAACCCGGCAATCGCCGCCAAGAATCATCCCCGTCGCGGCCGCAACGGTACTTTCTCTTTTTGCGCGGATTTAAAAATACCAACTGGTTTTTGCAATTACGGAATAATTAAATATGATAGTGTTGTTTTGTTTAGGCAATTATTTGAATAGTACTAAAACATACGTAGTAATTTTTCTAATGTAATATTATACTCCGTATGTTTTTATTTTCTAATGTAGTATTACTGTTCAATGTTTGATGGTATTAGTGTCGCCAATTGGCAAAATGGGGGAGGGGGCCATGGGTGTTGTGGTGGGGTGGGCATGACGGGGGGAGGGGTAGGGTTTAGGGATGTTTAGGCGTGAGAATCATCAATTTTACGAACGGAGCACCGCAGGGGTCTCGGGTGATAATATGACCTGAAGATACAAGGTCAAAAGAATCATTTCGGTCAATGTTCAAGTAAATGTCCACCGCCACGCGACATTATTCAAACAAAATGTCCATCATCGCTGGACTTTGTTTCCGCCACCAGATATTATTCAAGTACTATTTAGAAAATAAAAAAAATTCAAGTACTACATTGGGAAATGATATATGTTTTAGTACTATTTAGTATAAATTTTACTTTTATCTGGTTTAGGTTGTCTATACTAAGCATCAAAATTGTTGCATTTGTTTTGAGTTTTTCTGAGCCATTTACACTGGAACACTTTAAAAATTAAGCGGGTTCTCGCTGAATTAAAAAAATAAGGCTCTTGTTCGGTTTACGACATTTGAGTGAAGCTATTTTCAAATCAATATAAATAAAAATTGGTGTAGAATTAAAAAATAAAAATTATATATTAAAAAACTACATCAAAACTTCTACAAAATGAATAGTTAATTAGTGACAACGTTGTTTCATTTTATCAAATGATTGATAGAAGTGTATAAAGAAAATAAAGTTAGTTTAACCTATGAATAGTAATTAGGAGTTTTTTTTTATTTTTAAAAAGGGAATTAGTATATTCAAGTGAATGTTACGGAGTACCTTGGTATGAAACCAAATGTGAATTAGAGAGTGTTCTATTGGGAAGCAATACCTAATTTATTAAGCAATGACCCAAGTCAAGTCAACAAGAGAATTCCCATTATCTGTTTTAGACTATTGGCTCTTTTGGTTGACTTGAGTCTTGACACTCACTCTTGCCTACCAGTACTGTTCCCTGGAGAGAGTGAAGGTTAGTCCAGTCTTTTCACCTTTGGACTTGGTCTTCTAAACTTGTTAGTGAATTAAGCTCTAGACACCTGCACTACTCTATTGGTAAAGTTGATAATTCCTACCCCTTACCACCCCTCCTAAACCCCACCCCAGCCCCCCTACCACCTCCTCCTCTAGCAAGGCAATACATTGCCCTGCTGATGTTGCACGGGTATAAAATGTTGTCTGTGATTGGTTGACCAGAACCAGTGTTCTCCATCAATGCCTGCCACATGTTTCCCAATGTCCATATGGTGTTTTTCCCTTTGATGGTATAAAATGGATTAATTAATTCACACACACCAAACACGGACAAATAATTGGAATTGTCTCCCATTTCAAACACATGATATATTTATTTCTTGGTATAAATCAGAGCATTATCTCATAACATATATTACAGCAAGTAGTACATTATTTGTACGTTAAACAAAAGTACGGTAAGAGTGTTTCTGTGTTTGTTTGATGATGGAGTGTTCATTTTACTTTCACTCGGTGTTGTTGTTACTGTTTTTATCATCATCATCCCTCATACTCCTCTCTCTCGGTACTGGTTCTATGGTGGTGGCACAATCGAAGGAGAGGCGTTGCCATGATGAAGAGAAGGCTGCTTTGCTCCAGTTCAAGCACAGCTTTGCCAGCACCAACCAATGTTATGATGGTTATTTGCCTAGTTATGTTCATCCAAAACCAAAACTGGAATCATGGAAAGACGGGGGAGACTGCTGCTCCTGGGAGGGTGTGGAGTGCGATGACAGAACTGATCATGTCATCGGCTTAGACCTCAGTGGGAGCTGCCTCTTCGGTTCCATAAACTCCAGTAGCAATGCACTCTTTACCCTCACTCACCTTCAGAGGCTGGACCTCTCCAACAATGACTTCAACTATTCTCAGATACCCTCTGCAGTCGGAAACCTCTCCCGTCTCACTCATCTCAACTTGAAGCACTCGTACCTTACAGGCCGAATCCCGCAACAGCAGCTCTCCAATATAACCACTTTGGTTTCCCTCGATCTGTCCTTTAATTATGTCAGGGGTGATGTCTCTGCACACGGATTGGAAGTTCATAGTCTAGAAGGACTGGTACAACGCATGATCAACTTGAAGGAGCTCCATCTATCAGACGTGAGAATTTCTTCTTCACGTGTACCTCAACTCCTCTCCAATTTCTCATCTTTAGAGTCTCTGCTTCTTCTTAACTGTGAACTCAGGGGTGAATTCCCCGTTGCCATTTTCCATCTCCCAAAACTCCAGATGCTCGATCTAAGTGACAATCATGATCTCAGAGGCTATTTGCCCGACTTCCCTTCAGGGAGCCCTCTTAAATCGTTACAACTCTTTTATACAAGTTTTGGGGGAGTGGTGCCTCCCTCCATTGGAAATCTTGCCTCTTTGGAAGATATAGACATCTCTTATTGCAATTTTACAGGGAATCTTCCAATGTCACTTGGTAATCTTACCCAACTTGTTTCTTTTAATTTTTGGGGTACTAATCACTACAAACATGAAAGATGGTTCGACCCTGATAGTAACCACTTCAGCCCAGATAGTCTTACTACTACTTCATTATCTTGGATTCGTAAGCTCACCAAGCTCACTTCTTTGAACCTTGCACACTTGGACTTGACAGGTGACATTTCATCTTGGCTCATGAACCTCACCCATCTTATAAACATCGACTTGTCTCACAATCAATTAACCGGTCAAATCCCATCCAATTTTAATCACCTTATTGAGGCGTTGGATCTTTCATTTAATAATTTGGAAGGCCCGATTCCTACAAATCTATCTAATCTCCATAACCTTGACAGTCTTATCCTTGATCATAATAGATTCGTTGGCTCGGTGGAGCTAAACTTATTCTCTCACCTGAAAAAGTTAATTAGAATAACTTTGTCATACAATACTTAATCATTGAGCATACAGAACATTAGCACAAAAAACATCATCCCTTTTCCAAGCTTACAGTTTCTAGGATTGGCTTCATGCAATCTTTCTGAGTTTCCTACTATCCTGCACAACAACAAAAATACATTGGAACATCTAGATCTTTCTCATAACAATCTCAGAGGTCAAATTCCTCCATGGATATTTGATCTCGGTCAAAATTCTGAAGAGGGTCTCTCTCTGAACCTCTCTTATAATCTTTTCACTGGTTTTGAACAAGATAATCCTCTTTTTCATCCTCATGCTAAAATAAGAACTTTAGACCTTAGGCATAATATGCTACAAGGATCTCTCCCAATCCCACCACCTTTTCCCTCCTTTAGTTCCTACCTAATATCAAACAATAGTTTCTCAGGACAAGTTTCACATCTCATTTGCTATTTAACATCCCTTGAGCATCTCGATTTGTCATTCAATGGTTTGAGCGGAAAGCTTCCCCAATGCTTGAGCAATTTTAGTGATTCTCTTTCATTACTGGCTCTCAAAGGAAACAGATTTGATGGAAATATTCCGTCAGCGTGGACAAGTAAATGCAAACTGAAAATGATTAGTATGAGCTACAATCAATTACACGGGCAGTTACCGAGGTCATTAGCAAATTGTTCATCACTGGAGTTCATTGATTTTGGCAACAACAAAATAACCGATACTTTTCCATTATGGTTAGAAACAGTTACTCAGTTGAGCGTCCTTATCTTGGGATCTAATAGGTTGCATGGTGTGATCAGTGATGGTTTTGGATTCCCAAACCTTCGAGTCATCAATTTATCCAACAACAGGTTTAGTGGGAAAATGCCATCAAAGTTCATTGAGACCTCGAACCCCATGAGAGCGTTAAATGCAAGTCACATGATGGGATACATGGAGCAAGACTTGCTACCGATTTCTTATTGGATTGATGAAGACTTCGGTCAATTTGATTACGCAATGACCATAAACAACAAGGGCTTGGAAAGGAGCTATATGAAGATTCCAGATACTCTTTGTGGAATAGATTTCTCTTCCAACAATTTTGAAGGACAGATTCCAGATGCATTTGGAGATCTCGCAGGGCTTCAGATGCTAAATCTTTCTAGAAACAATCTCAGCGGTCACATTCCATCTTCTTTCTCCAACATGAAGAATGTAGAATCTTTGGATCTCTCCCGAAACCAACTCTCAGGACACATTCCTATGGATCCTACAAAACTCACATATCTTTCAGCATTTGACGTGTCGTATAACAATCTCTCTGGCCCTATACCCCAAGGAAACCAGTTCTGTACCTTTGAGATCAAATCATTTGAAGGGAATGTAGGATTGTTTTTTGAACCTTGGAATAAACTGTGTGGAAACGCGAGGTCTTCGCTCCAAGTGCAGCAGCCTCCATCCCCTACAGAAGAAGAAGAAGAAGATGACTCGGAATCAGACTTAAAAATAGAGTGGATGATAATATTGATTGGGTTCGCAAGTGGTTTGGTTGTTGGAGTGATCCTTGGGAACGAGTTGATTGCAAGAAAACAGTATTGGTTCGTCAAGACTTTGGCAAGGATGGGGATATGGCAGGCCTGAGATCAGGGGAAGCATTCTCAGTCGATCCGTAGTACAGTGTTTTGGTTTTGGAAGCGAAAAAAATGGTTGTGGATGTGTCTCTACTTTGCAGTGTTAATGTTTTGTGTGTTCTCTTATGCTGTGTGTTTTATTATCTAAGTATATGCAAGCAACAATAAGATGTTAGAAAGCATTTGCTGTTTGGTGGCTTAGTACTCATATTGAAAAGAGGTTTTTGTTTGGTTTCTGCACCTTGGCACAGTTCAATATGGGCTTATTCAGTGAATTGTTTTTTAAACAACTAATTAGAGAGAAGTCTTTTTACTTTGATGGCACAAAGAGAGACTAATGGATTGAGTCCATTTTTTTAGACTAGTTGTCTCACTACAAGCTACTGGACTTTTCTTAACTCCCATTCTCTCAAAGAAGTGCAGTTTTAGACCCCTTTTTTTTCATTTCAACTACAAATTTGCCAAATCAATGTCACATATATCACTTTCCCTTTGACATTAGCATTCCAATTTAACTTTATGGTATTGAAATTGTTATACTAGTATAAAAACAATATTTAGCTTTCATTTTCTAAAACATTGACAAAAAAAATTATTTAAAAACTTTAACGTTAATAGAAAACATTGAACCAACACGAGGTTGACATGGAATCCAAGAATAACTTTTGTAATTAACGCTAGAATTTTGAATAAAATTTTAATGTTGTGAGTTACAGAGTAATTTAAAAAATGTCTAACACTTTGATGTTTATATTTAGAGAAATTTATTTCAAATAATCTCACCTTTTGAAATTTTTAATTTAAATTTCAAATGATGTTTGAGAAGTTATATAATTCCAATTCTTGAATTTGAATTTTGAAATTCACAAAGATTATAATGGAAATGAGTTTATATGTATATAATTATCGTTGTATAAATGAGTTTATTTTGATTAAGATAGTGTTTGGAAAATTAAATTCATTTGCGGTCTTAAATTTCAATTCTTATACTTGAAATTCCATGATTTCGGATTTCTAATATTGTTTGAAAACCATATAATCAATTTTAAAACTTAAATTTTAAAATTGGCAAAGACAGAGACAAAAAATGGTTGATATGTATAGAATTGTTATTGCATAAGGAAAAATACTTTTTTTATTGTAAGTTGTAAATTATAAAAAATTAAATTTGGATTTGTAAATGATAGGGGAGGTAAGGATTTGTAATTGAGTTTGTTTTGAATTGAAATAATTTAGTATAAATTCAAATCCAAATCCAAATCCAAATTTTATAAGTTTCTAATAGTAATTGGGAAAAAATACATATTTAAAATTTAAATTGAAGTTCTTAAACATACCATGAAAACAATTTTGTCTAAATTTAAAATGAAATTTGCACTAAATAGTGTTAAAATATATGTCATTTTTTAATGTAGACCTTAAACTTTTTTATTCTCTAAATAGCATTCGAATAATATCTACTGACGGAAACAATATCTAGTGATGGTGTATATTTAGTTTGAAAAATGTCTAGTGACATTGAATATTTATTTAAACAATGATGTCTAGAAACAAAAATATATAATACTCCCTCCGTCCCATTTTATAATGCCTGTTTCGGTTTACGATGTTTGACTAAAATTATTTTCAAATCATTTTATATGACAAATGGTATAGAATTAAAAAATAAAAATTATATATTAAAAAACTGCATCAAAAGATCTACAAAACTAGTAGTGACAATAATATTTTGGTTTATCAAATTGGTAACGAAAATAGAGAAAGAAAGTGAATGAAGTTTGACCATATGAATAGTGAACAGACATTATAATTTGGGACGGAGGGAGTATTACTTTAAAAAAATTACTATTTTTTAGTACTATTTAAGTAAATTCCTCAAATTTAAATCCATTTTTTTGAGTTCTCAAACAATTGATTTGAATCAAATTTAAATTTAAATTTCCAAATACGTAATGAAATAATTCATGATTTTAGGTAAAGTACCCCGAGTAATTCATAATTTTGGTTTTTACTTTGCACCTCTTCAAAGATGTCCTTTACAGTTGACTTGTAGAAAAACGAAAGTAGATAATGCAGCCGCTTAAGTTATAAGAGATCCGTCGCGTGGCCAGAGTTCGCCGTCTGAGACACAGATGGAGGCGAATACGTCTACGGCGGCGGCGACATACAATGACGGAGAACAGCATAGGGGCGCCGGAGGGAAGTTCAAGAAGCCTCCGTCGAGGAAGCCACCTCCCAGTCCTTACGCCCGACCCCTGGCTGCGCCGGTGAACAAGGCCGGCAGCGGCGGATGGTTATCGAAACTCGTCGATCCGGCCTATCGTCTGATATCCGGCACCGCCACTAGAATCATCCCGTCATTCCTCTCCAGGGCGACTTCTGATGCTCTCCCTCTTCTTCCTATCACCACAAGCAACGGTAGTTTCTCCTTTTGCGCATATATGAAATACCTACACGTTTATTGCAATTAAATGCTAGTGCGGGTTAGTTTACAGCTTGTTAAAGTTTATTGTTTGATTTTTGTAGTTTTACTTTGAGCATCAAAATTCAGTCTCGTTTAGCTTTTAATTTCAATATTTGAGCTTTGCATTTACATATTCTAGGGCTTGTAAATTTGTAGTATCTACATCTAATTATGTGAGATTATGCGCCCATGATGCTTTAGTTAGGTAAAAGTTCAAAAAATGATGGCTTTTGTGTTAATTTTCCTTAATATCTTTTTCAAAGTTAAATTTTTAAAACTCAAAAACTCAATAATTGATGCTTTGGTTAAATTACGTTTGTTTTCTTGTTCATTTGCTGGTATTAGATTAATCAGATCGAGAAAAGCTACTGTTTTGTGATGCTAACACAAACATACACTCCAAATCTCCAATATCATTGTAGAATCAGTTGCAACCCTTTTTGGAAATGTCAAAAGAAGAAGCATGTGCTAAAATCAGTACTGGATTTGTGTTCTTAAACATAGGGGAAATTTAAGATCCCAATGTGTTCACTGTTTTGGTTTGTGCATCCTGTTTTTGGATAGTGGCATGCTCATGAATTTCCCACTTTTTTCTACCTACATAATGATCAATGATATTCTATGTGTTATGATTATTCTGCTCTCAAACTCAGAATTACTCTTTTCATTGGATACAGAAGGTGAGGAGGTCATACCAAGTGCAAAATATGAAGAGAAGTGCACTTCAACTGTAAGCATTTAATATATTCTTTATCAGTGCACAACGGAGCAATATATTATGGACTTGCGGAGTTATAAAAAATGAAAGTGGAACTATTTTAGGAAAAATGAATTGGGGATGTGTATCATAGGAAAAAAAAGTAATGGGACGTTTTGGAACTAGTTAGATTGTTGATTTGATGCTAATGGAGTATCTTCTTTTACCTGCAAACCTGCAATGAATAACCATGGAAATGAATATTCTTTGTGGTTCAACTCTTTTGATGAAATATCATGATCCATGTTGCATGCATTCTTCAAGGAAGTGTTGTTTTCTGTTTCAAAATGTTCCTGTTTTTTTAAAGGAAAAAATGTTCCTGTTTAGATATATGGGGAAGTCCTGATAGCCAGATCCTTTTTAAAATGTGGAAATGTTGGTGTTTCCCCATTCCTGTCCCCGCTTGAGTAGCTGTTGCCATAATGCCTAGTGAAACTTAGATCATGATTGTACTTTATCAGAGTGAACTAGAGAAATACAATACATTTACTTGCACATGGGGTGTGATGGAATAAATCAAAATGGATCTCTAAACTGTCTGCGCTTCTTTAATTAATGAAGTAGCAGTTAGTCAAGCAATGCAACTTTCGACGTTGAGCCGGGGGTCTCTTTGGAAACAGCCTCTCTACATTCGAGTAGGGGCAAGGTCTGCGTACACACACCCTCCCCAGACCCTACTCTTGTGGGATTTAACTGGGTTGTTGTTGTTGTTGTTGTTACTTGCACATGGGTGGTTCTTGAAATCATAATGTGAAACTAAACTAACAAGTGGAAAACTAAACCAAATCTGTTTAACTGATATTCTTTAGATGGCCTTTCTAGGTGAAATGAATGTCCTTAAAATGTTTGGAATTTATGTTATGCAGTCTGCAGCCTTTGTATCTAGTATAAGAATGGATGCCAATGAACTTATAGAAAAAGAGAATGGAATATCTCAAGATCAAAACCAGGGGCAAGATAGGCCAGAGAACTCTCATGATGATTCTGAGATTTCCAGAATTGAGCAGTTAATGAAAGGGAAATCATTTTCTAGGTACTGCCATAGCACAATTATTAATGTTCATGGTTTTTTATTTTCTTGTATTGTTTTTAGAACTCTACTAGCTTTATGAATGTCTTTTTGTTGAAGATTTATCTTTATGTTTATACCACTTTTGGAAAGCTGCACTGCACCATCAATCCCTAGTTTAGTTTTTACTTGCACTAGGACATCAAAATTACCCAACTCCATAAAAGAAGAACTTTTGGAGGTGAGTAGAACTCGCAAAAATTGACCCGACTCAAAAATACTACCTTTTGAACAAAGGTTTTGTTGACCAAACCCGAAATGACCTCCTAAAAATTGGCCAAACCTGACCGAACCCAAAGCCAACATGTTCGACCCGCTAACATAAGAGTTTTTCAAAATCATGTATTTTATTTTGATATATAATTTTGTGTTCATAATAATGTTAAATATAACTAAAAAGTAATTTAAAATTCAAAATAAAAAAATTATAAGAGGTTTAATATATTTCATTTTGATATTTTCTTATTTTTTAGTTCAAAATGCAAGTGCTAGTATGAATTTAAAATTTTAAATATTCTAAAAATAAATTTCATAACCTATTGGGTCGACCCAAACCCGATGACACTGGGTCATGAACAAGTAGTTTTCAACCCGAACCCAATGTTATCTGAATCTGAAATGACCGAATCCGAACCTAACTTAATCGACTAATTTGCCAGCTCTAGAGGCGAGTGTCAATTTTCATAGAAAATAAGAAGAAAATGAAGTTTAATGTGCCATTTGATTTAGTACATTATTTAACTGAGGTCTAAAAATTGTCAATAGTGACTCTTTTAGGTTTATTAGCAATGTCTCACCAATGGGCACAACTTTAGTTGAGTTATATTATTTGAAAAGGGGGTTTGTTTTGTTTCAGGTAAAAGATTATGAGCTCATTCTCTAGGACTTTTCCCTAAAGGGTTGAGTTTGGAGTCTTACTAGCGGAATTATGTCTCGGAGAACATGGCCTATATTTTTATATGCATGTGTGGTATATTTTTAAATTTGGTATGGTTATGCTTGTTTTCAAACTGGTCTTCATTGTTATGCAGGGAAGAAATAATCCGTTTGACTGAACTTTTGAAAGAAAGAGCTACTGATGATCTAGAAAAGGACAAATCAAGCATGATTTCAGGAAGAGATAGTGAAGGAGTTCTTTTCTTGCATGGTACACCAAGAAAAGCAACTGAAAGTACTGAAGATGTGAACAGAGTTCTACGTGGACCTTTGACACCTTTGCCTCAGACAAAGGTGAGTCATTTGCTACCATCAACCATTTTATGTGGATACTTGTATTGTTTATGGTTTGCTTGACTGAAAGCTGTTAAAGTGAATATATATCTCTGTGTGTGTGTGCGTGTTTTACAGTGCTAAAAAAGTGTCTATGCAATGACGACCTCAGAGTTGAATGTAGCACTTAGGTGTGGTATAAGAAAAATAGATTGTTTCAGTTTCTTTTTACCTTGTAAAATACAAAGGGGAAACAAATTTGAGTGGTAGCTATTAGATTTTCATAATTCACACTGCCACTAGAGTAAATAGAGTAATTTAGACGACATTTTAGCTTCGAGTAAATGATGGACTAAATCAAAATGGAGTTATAAAATTTCCATGCTTCTTACTTTCTATGAAGTTTTGGACATTAAATGTAGCACATTAAATATAGCAGTGCATCAAGGGGATAATTGAAACAACCTTTCTATTTTTTTTAACTGAGGTAAGGTTGCATACATCTTGAGTCATGACCCATCACCCTCACAGAGCTGTGATTATAATGGGTTTGACTTTGAACAAATACCTAAAATTGATTTATTGAGTCTGAACTGCATCCTTATTTTCTCCCAAATTAATTATGCATTTTTGCCCCTATTTTCTTTTGCATTTTCTGTGTTCCAGGCGGGTCTATAGCTGACAATTTTTTTATAATGAAAAGAGGCAAGTTCAACTGAATTAATCAATAGGACATTCAAGGCTCCGATATAATTTTCACGTGCATATACTCTTGTGCATAAATTACATGCATAATTGGATAGTGGGATGCCTTATGAATATACTATAATTCATCAGGTGAAAGATGAAATTGGTGCGTCTCCCATAGATGTTGCAAAAGCGTATATGGGAAGCCGAATGGCAGATCAAAGCCCTAGCCATCGCAGCTTCCTTACCAAGGGCCAACAAGATCCAGAGAATGCATATAAAAATTTTGTTCCACCACCTTTACCTAAACCATCACCTTGTTGGCCCGGCACCATGGCCTCAGAGCGTAATCAGAGCCTCAATACACCACAGAATCAGAGAAGCAGATATGGGCTCCATGATTTTCCTAGGACTCCATATTCTAGAACTTTATTATCTAAGTCTAGAACTAATAGCAGGGGCCTTGATTTTTCTGTACAGTCTTCTCAACAATCTCCAATGTCAGCGTGTACGCAGGTAACCTTCTCAGTTCTCACATTCATCTTACTTGTGCCATCAGATATTATTGTGCTATATTGCAATAATATAAGTTCTGTTATCATAAGTTCCTTCTCACTTGACCACTTATGCATACTTCAAGGGGGTTTTATTTTGAAAAAGCAGTAATTATTGCTTAATGCAAGTGCTTTCACTGCTTTGTTCAACTCTTAAAGGCACTTCTCTCATTTTTCTTTTAAATACTTCTTTTCAAGCGGAAGAGATTTCATATACTCTAAAACTACTTGTATTCCTCAAAATAATGATAGCATGCCTTGTTTGTGTTATGTACACACCCCTTCGTAGACCCTACTTTTTGTGGGATTCTTCTGGGTTTTTTTATAGCAGGCCAAGTATTTACCTTATTTAAACTTCTTTTATTGGCAAACTTCAGGAAAGGGCAAAGACTGCTGTGTTTGACCAAGGTTATGGATCGGTTGGACCTATCCGTAGAATACGCAACAAGCTTGGCACAGAACCTCAGCCCAAGAAATCCATTTTCCTGAATCCCTCTAAAGCCGCATCAGAAATCGAAAAATCACTTGTTCCTAAAACATTCTTGCCCAGTCTCACAAAGAATAAGGAAATTGGCCACACCGAGGAGACTTCAAAGACTGTTCAAAATGAGGCAAGTAGAATAATATTAGAGCATATTAGCAGGCACAAGCCAACACCTAAAGAGAAGGCATATGAACTGAATCTGGCTACTTCTCATGCAAGACCATCTGAGAATGCAGATCTGAAGAGGACTGAGTTGGGGTCCACAAAATCTTTGAAGGGTGAAAATAGTGATAAAGGCACTGTTCAGAGGAGTTTTGGCGACAGTAGTTTAGATGTATCTAATTCAAATGCTGGCCCTTCGTCATTCTCAACAGATTCACAATTGAATATTTTCTCCCCTCCTTCCAGCATCCCAAATTCTTATAAGGTATGAAGTTTTTTGCTATCCCTTTATTTGTCTTGATAAAACATTTTAGGAGCATAGTTAAACTCTTCCTGTTTTACCCTTCAAAATTAAATACAAAGCACACTCTCGCTTGTCAATTATCTTTAAACATTTTCATTTTGGATTTCAAAACTCATATTGTTTCTTCCCGATTGAGAAGTCATATCATATCAATCTTTTAAAACTCACCAAATGGGCTCTTAATAACAAAGGGGATTTCAGCAATGAGTAATAAGGCACTAATTTCACTCAACACTGATTGATTTGGACTGATTTGTTTCCCTATGCAGAATCCATTAACTGATATTGTGCCAAGAGAAACCCCACAAAACCGGTCTTCTTTCCACCAACAACAGAGCAATGGGCAGAATGCCTCCTCAACCTCCGCATTATCCGACCCAGCGGGGCCCAACCCTGAAAAAGAAACGGCCCCACATAGCCATACCTCTGGAACAAAACCAAACTTGACAGCCATAGCCATAAACAAGCCTGATCTAAGAAACAACATATTCTCCAATTCCACCACCCCACCCATGGGGTTCACCTTCCCTGTTCCTGCCTCATCCGGTGCGCTCTCCGAACCCCCCACCCCTTCAATGCCATCATCATCTGCTGCAAAGATCGCGCCGTCTGATGATACAGTTCCTTCTTTCAGCTTTGGCAATGGAAAATCCTCACGGGCACTCGTCTTCTCTTTCCCATCTACAAGCAGTCTTTCTGCCCCTGCTGATGCAACCGATGCTATTAAGTTCAACTTTGGGGGAGGAGATGGGAAGACAAGGTTGTGTTTCAATGCTGCGGTTTGTTAGAATTGCAGTCTTTATTCACTTACCTGATATTGTAGTAGTCATCCTTCTTTCTTTTTTGGTTTTGTAAGGAGAACTTCATCTATGGAGTATAATTTTTTATGTAGGTTTATTGCCAATTTTTTTGGTCTGTTAGATTAAATAATGCAGTGTTTTTTTTGTTTTGTTTTTTCAAACATTATTACTCCTATAATTACTTGATTTGACCGTTTTGATACGGAGCAATTTATTTTAAGTTATTGTTAAATCCACCTCTCATTTGGCTATATCTACTCTATTTATATTTAAAAAAAACATATTTACCCTTAACTTTTTAACCTTAAACTGTTTAAAAAAAGAGAGAAAAGAGCTGAAAGACAAAATTGTCCATTTATTATTAAATGGAGTGGTTTTACCCAAATGATGTGTGAAGTTAGCACTACACTCTATTTTGTCATAAATTTTATTTTAAAATGCCATTTATGAAAAGAGGAATTTATAAACGAATCAAAAAGAAAAATGTGAAAAATTATTAAACAAAGGACGTTAAAAAAAATTACCAATAGTAAATTACTCTTTAATTAGCTTTGTGATAAAATAGTGGTGATGGTGAGCATTTGACATTAGCTTCTTGATAAATAATTTTCAAAAATTTTGGTTTGAATAAAAACCATTTGAAATGTTCGAAGTGTCTGATTTCTACGGAGTAATTTTTTGATACATTAAAACATAAGCTGAGAACACATTTGAAATATGTTTAAATTCTGTTGTCAAAATTATTACTAGTAATTACTATTTAAAAGAAGCTAAGCAAACCTAAGCACTATCTTAGCATTTTTAGAATTAATCTGCGCCATTAAAAAATTTATTAGTTTATCTCTAACATGAATTGAAAAATTATAAATTTCTCTAGAGTTTTATAGAAATTTCTGAAACAAACATTTCCTTACAAGATATTCCATGTATCACATGCCAAAAGACATGAATATTTACAACACATTCTTGATAGCTAGCAGATTATAGTAATCCACTCTGCTGCAATCAATATAAATCTTACCAGTGAACATTTGGTGTTTGCAGACAAGTTTCCAAATTCCAATCATTCAAAAATACAACTAAGACATTGTAAATAAATGGAGAATAAATCTTTCAGATTCCTTTAAGCTCTCTAGCAAGACCTGTTAAGGTTGTCCATTTCTCAAATGCAGTTGCTGATGCTACAAATGCCACTCTTGATGCTTCAAAATCTTTTTTCTCTACTGGCAAAAAAATCACGTCAAGAGGTTGTCAAAACACGTGAATAAAAAGACTTTCGTTTTGGTCGCGAAGTGGTTCTTTCACTTGCTAACCCCCTACAAATGCTCCTCCCCTAATCTGACCTCTCCCCTTCCCGAGTGGGTGACAATCAACCGTTAAATAGACAGTGGATTGTGACCCACTGAGGGAGGTTGCAAGGAGGTTTGTGTAGTATTGATTTCGAATCACAAAGCATGTTTCCAAATCGTTTAACCAAACACTTTATCGAGAAAGCAACTCGGCTACAAGCTTCAACTTGTTGTAGGTTTAAGAAAGGTTTTATACTCAAACACAATTACTTTGAGCATAAGCAATCATACCTGATGAAATCAGAGAAGCCAATGATGAGCTGAATGCATCTACCTCAGCCTTCTCTTGGGGGCTTATGCTGAACTGTAGGGGAAAAGTAAAACATTCAAAACAAAGATATTCACCACATTAATGAAAAGGTAAAAATAGTAACTTGATTGATCAAGAAACCTTGTCTAAGGCCAAATTAACGTTCTTAACCCAATCTGCTTTGAGATCTTGGCCAAGAACACCACTTGCAGCAGGGAGATCATTTTTGTCGATGGCTTCACCAATTCTGTTCAGCTTGTAGACAAGATCTTGCAGGTGTGCTGCAAAATAAGTTAGCATTATAAAACCAAGTATGCATATATATGATCATTAAGGATCCATTTCTTCTCTTGGAAACAGCCTCCCTGCTGCGAGTAGGGTAAGGTCTCCATACACCACACCCTCTACACACCTGACTCCACTTTTATGGGATTTTACCGGGTTTGTTGTGGTAAAGGGACCCATTTTATCATATTCTCCGTACATCATCAACAAATCCAATAAAATCCCGTGGGAAATAAGGTGTGGGGATGGCGTGTATCCCAGAGACCTTACCCTACTTGGTAGTAGACAGACTGCTTCCAAAACCAATTAGTGAGCTCATTGTAAAAGGGCTAGGTTTATACACCATTTTTTCTTATAATACAAAAAAAAAAGTTATACAACAGTATCATGATTAGAACAGTTAGGATAAAGTAATAAAGAATCTGCAGCAAGTCAGCAACCAAATGGAAGTGCATAAAAGATTAAACTGTTGAGAGAATCATCGAGGTTAAGAATAAGGTTTGGCATTTTTCAACTCCAAAAATCCCTCTAACCTTAGCAAGTCTCTTCATAGGGTACACACAACTCACAACTAAGGATGCACAGTCGCACATAGACCCAATATAAGAACATAAATTGACATATTCAGCCCAATTATTTTGACACCAAGCCAGTGTCATAGTATGACACTAGTCCATTTGATGGTCCCACTATGTTCCGTTCAACCTCGAAGTGATTTCTACTTCCTAACCCTACAAACCCCTAGCCCCAGCCCCAGCCCCTTTTTTCACGGATATGCTATTGTGAATGCAATAGCATATCAGCTGGGAATGCCTGGGATGGGCTATGGGGTTTGTGGCAGTTAAGAGATTTTAACCATCATACGGAAGATCATAGGACCTTCAAATAGACTTGGTGTCATATTATTATGGCACCAGAGTTAGGTGTCAATAGAACCCCAGTCATAATACAATATAACCCTCATCCTGGTCAAATGGTCTATGTAGCTCAACGCTAAATGTAACAAAGATGAAATTACAACGAGAACTAGAATCAACCACACAAAAAATAGTATTTGAACTAAGCATTTTATTGGCTCTTCTTTTTAATTTCTTCAATTCCATCAGAAGAATGGGTTCTGACCTGTATCTTTACCAGATGAACTGATCAACCCTTGTCTCTCAACCCTCTTCTTTTTATCCATCTTCACCTTCTGCAACAGTTCCTCATCATCTTCAGCCTCAAGAATTGCAGCATTAGCTTCAAGTCTTTCATGGCTGCCACCCAAAGAGAGCAGAAAACTGGTGGTGAGACAAAGGGAAAGGCTTCTTCTCCTTGAGATGAGATTTGGATGGGGAAAAGGTGACTCCTTTACAGATCTGCAGAGTGTGGGCTTTCTCCAAGAATTGAGCTTCTGGGTATGAATTGGAAATGGTGAAGACGAAGATGGAAGGGAATGGATGAAGGGTTTTGCATTTGACACACAGATTGCCATCTTTTCCTTTACTTTTCCTTTTTCTGATTTTTATTTTTTATTTTTTTGATTACTTTGGTGGTATAGAATTTGATAGAATATGAGAGGGGAGATAGAGGATAGGAGGATATCCATAAGTCCATGTTTGGAGAGATTTGTGGTGTGAGGGCATTTCAGTCATCATGAAATTTCTAGTGTGGCCTACCATTGGTAAATTGGGTTATCTTTAAAAAGAAACCCAAGCTTTTGCCTTACCAAATAGAGATCAACCCACAACCTTGAACTAGGGCTGTAAACGGATAACCGAAAATTCGATTACCGTCCGCATCCGTATCCGTTTATATAGAAAATATCCGCATCCGTTAAAAACGGTTATTATCCGTATCCGATTAAGGATATCCGATTGCTAAACGGATACGGATTTGGTAATCATACATCCGATCCGTTTATAATCCGTTCCGCATTGACATCCGTTTAAATAACCGTTTATCCGTGTATCCGATCCGTTATATATGGTCTTTCCTAATTTTTTATTTTTATATTTTGTTTCTCTATAGATATCTCAAAGTATAAGACATTTTTATATGCGAAATATATGTGTAAACACATAAAAATATGTGTAGACATGTAAAAATATGTGTATATATGTACGGTGTATATCTTTTTATGATATGAAGTCATCGTATAATATCATAAACTATAAAAAATAAGAAAATAAATATCCCATAAAAAATTATAGTTGATTTAATAATATTTTAATTTAGTTTAATTGAAAATTCAAGTATTGTTTAGTTTAGTTTTCAAAATTGGAAACGGATNCGATATCCGACGGATGCGGATACGGTTATGATTTTTCAATATCCGTCAAGATCCGTATCCGAATTCGATATCCGACAAAAGTAAACGGATACGGATTTGGTAATAGCACATCCGATCCGATTAAAATCCGTTTACACCCCTACCTTGAACACAATCTCTTCTTCTGTAGGGTGGCCCCTCTAAAAAATAGATCAATCCCATCCTAAAATCATTTCAAGTTAGGCCTAGACAATCATTGAGGGTTCTAACTCTAATTTACCAATAGTGAATGAAATATGTTCTTGATTTAGTCAAAAGTGGCAATCATAATATCATTTTACATTATATTGACCATTTGAGTTACGTCTCCAGACAAATTTTTCCTTTACTAGTTACCGATGTTTGTGGGTTCAACATATGTTTTCAAAGTGCCCTTAAAAAAACAAAAATGTCTAATTAAAACTAAAACATACTTTATGTATAAAAATAAGGTGGTCAATAAAACAATTTACAAAAATAAGATTTATATTGTCAAAATTAGGATTGCTCACTTGTTTGTAATTTATACATTACTTTTGTATGTCTTTAATATTTATATTGTGCACAAACATTTATTATCTGTGTGTGTATAATGTTTGAGGTCAAAATAGTATCGCCAATTTAGTGTCCCCTAACACAATCCTTGTCACATATTCTTCTTAATTAATTAGATAATTGGGATTGAACTGTTTGAGGTTTTGAGCTAGACAATATTTTTCATCATGTACAATTGAATGATTAATGATTCATTTGATCAAAAGTATACAACAAAAAGAATGGCTAAGTGTAAAGTTGGGCCACTAAATCAAAAGAGTGTATCTACTAAATATACCAATTTTTTTGGAAATGCAAACTGCACATAACAGCCTCTACTTTTTGGTTGCCTCTTTTGCCTTAGTTTGGAAGGTTTTCACACTCCATATTTTTATGCTCCCACCAAGCTAAGATAATACTCCCTACCAAAAAAATGTAAATTAAGTTCAGCACTCAACTTTTAGGTACCAAATTTATCTGTCATAGATAAATTTAAAAAGTTAACTTAATTTCTTCCTTCAAAAATAAAAAAACTAAACTTCAAATATCTAAATATGCATGATGCATCCACCTGTCTCGCAAAAAAAATCACCTTAGCTTATTTTTCATCATCAATATATAACTTTTACTGTTTAATATTTTTATAAAATCAAAACCTTGAGTAATTTTTTTATGGAACTGCGAAGGAATCACTACAGAATAAAAGAGAAATTGATAAACCTGCTCAAAGTAAGGATTTTAGCACACATGCTTGAAGTATGAAAAATTGAAACTAAAGTTTGAAATACTCGTATAAATTTTTGAAACACTCTAGTCATTCGGCGTTTTAGGGTGGGGGACAGGGGGCTACTGGGGTGAGGGGCAGGTAGGCAGTTTAGAAGGATATGAATCATTAATTTTTTGAACGAAACACCGTAGGTTCTTGTTGTCATAATACAACAACAAGGGTTGTCAAAAAAAGACCACTGATACTTAAAACAAAAGTCCAAAAATTAAAATGTACCATTTGAATAGGAGAAAGTTGAATAACTAGAATAATTTAATTTCACTTTAGTCTTTGAGTTTTTTTTTTCTTTTTACCGGAAAACATGGGCCGTTATCTATTTCAACTTTCAAGAGTATTTTTGAATTCCTTCAAAAAAAAAAAAGAAGAGTATTTTTGAATTGAAGATTCAAAGATTCTTAGCCCACACTTCTTCCTTGACCCGCCGCCCGCCCGGTTCAACCCTCTCTTCTCTACTCGTTCTTCAGATCCGCGTCAACCTTTTTCTTCCATTGGGAGGTTTACACAGACTTTCACAGTTTCACCCCTTCGCCTCCAACACATTCACACCCTGAAGAAAAAAAAGCTCTCCTTCTGCAAATTACTTCACTCACTCCCACTCTTTCTTTTCTTTCTCTATAAAAAGCTCATAATCGCACTCAATCATAGCCCAAACGAGCCTTCAAAGCTCGAATCTCCCACCCCAAAAATACCCCAAGAATCTTTTTTTTCTTAATTTAAAGAAAGATCGGTTTTTTGTTGCCTGTTTCATGTTCATAGGCTCGATTTATTGCGTTTTCTGTGTGTGGGGTTGGCCTCGGTGATCTATTCGTCGCCTCGGAAGAGATCAGTCTGAGGCGATTGAGAAAGGCGTGAGCTGTGAAGAAAGTAAAAATGGCCGGCGGGTTTTCTTGAACTGGATAGTGAACGGCGTCGTTTGGGATTTGGAGGGATGGATGTTCTTCTGCGATCCATGATTCTGCTGTTCATGATCCTCAATCACAAGGGTAACTCTTACTTTCAATTCTTCTTTTATGATGTGTTTCTGTGATGAATCTTTGATGTATTTGGTTAATGTTTCGCTTCCATTGATTTGCTTGAGTTTTTCTTTTCTTGAGTATTCAGTCAAAGTCTGGATTTTTGATAATTTTATGATTAATCTTTGGTGTATTATATGGAAGAGTACCAAAAAAAATATGGAGTAATTCTGAAAACAGAAACTCTTTTTTTACAAAATGTTTGAAGAATCAATTAGAAATTTAGAAAACATTTTCATAGGAAAGGGATAGTATCTAGTACTTATTGGTTTGGCTGTGCTTGGAACTAAAGAAAGTGATAGGAAAGGGAAATTTTGCTAAGAAAAATGATTCTTTATTTTGATATGACTTCTAAAATTGATTCTTTATTTACATTTAAGTATATGTTCATATGCATTTAGTTTTAGGTGTATTTCAAAAATTTTAATGTATTAGGAAGAAGCTTTGATGGAGTCTCTTTGCCTGTTCTTGATTTTCAGCTCGACAAACGGCGTTAGCGTTCACCGGAACGTACGGGATCAACTACGGCAGAATTGCAGACAACATTCCGGAGCCAGACGACGTCGTCAGGCTCCTCAAAGCAGCGAAGATCAGAAACGTCAGAATCTACGACGCCGACCACGGCGTCATCAAGGCCTTCAGCAACTCCGGCCTCGAGCTCGTCATCGGCCTCTCCAACGGCGACGTGAAGGCCGTTGCTGCCAGTGCCGACCGCGCCCTCAGCTGGGTCAAAGACAACGTCGTCGCCTTCCTCCCCGACACCAACATCGTCGGCATTGCCGTTGGCAATGAGGTCCTCGGTGGCGGCGATTACGAACTTTCTGCCTCCCTCCTAAACGCCGTCAAGAACATCCACAACGCCACTTCGAACCTTGATCTCGCCCGCCGGATCCAGATAACCACCGCGCATTCCCAGGCTGTTTTTGCCGATTCCTTCCCCCCGTCCTCCTGCATCTTCACCGATTCCGTTTCCCACCTCATGAAACCCCTTCTCCAATTCTTCTCTGAAATTGGGTCCCCCTTCTGCTTAAACGCCTACCCGTTTCTCGCATACACGTACAATTCCGACAAGATCGACATCAATTACGCACTGTTCGAGTCAAACCAAGGAATTCGCGACGAAAAATCAAATCTTTACTACGACAACCTACTGGATGCGCAGATTGACGCGGCATATGCGGCTTTGGAGGACGCAGGGTTCAAGAAGATGGAGGTGGTGATAACGGAAACGGGCTGGGCTTCTCATGGCGGCACAAACGAGCCGGCTGCCACGACAGAGAATGCCCGGACATATAACTATAATCTGAGGAAGAGGCTCGCGAAGAGGAAAGGGACGCCTTTGAGGCCCAAGAGCGTTCTGAAGGCCTACATTTTTGCACTGTTCAACGAGGATTCGAAACCCGGACAACTGTCCGAGAAGAACTATGGGTTGTTCAAAGCCGATGGGAACATCTCTTATGATATCGGGTTTCGTGGGTTGCCAAACTCGTCGACTGCAGCGTCTTCTCTCTTGAAGGTAATGTACTTTGGCTCTTGATCTGTTATTGTGAGATTTTAGTTAATTGTTGGTATAGTTATTGCTGCTTATATATACACACATAAAAGGTAAAATATATATTGAACACCATTGTTTTTCAATATATCCATAGAGGCTTATACACAATATTGGGTTATTTTAGTGCCTTTGTGGTCTTTCACCTTTTTTTGCCTATAGAATCTTGTGTTGTATTATGAACTCATTTGTTTTTGGTCTTTTTGTGAACGGGCGATGTGTTCCAGGGAGCGGGAGGTCAAGCGTCCGTTGTCTCGCTGCTAGTGCCCGTGGCTTCGATGCTATTTCTACTACTATGGCAACATCATCATTTTTTGGATTCATTCTGGCGCGCATGAAAATGATCGGTTGGAATTCAAATTTTATTAGAAGATTTGCGATGGTAGTTATGGTACCTTACGGAGTTTACTTAGGCTATTGTTTGTCGTTCTATCGAGTTATGAGGAATGTATATGCAATAAGTGTTCTTATAAAGAGAAGTAATCAGGTCGTTCAACGATAAATTATATTTTTGTACATTCATTCTGATGTACGTGGTGTTTTTGTTACAATATATGCTCGTCTTCCTTACAAACCAAACGCATCTAGTATATCACCTTCATTAGTACATGTTGGGATATAATGGACGCGTTTGGCTTTGTTTGGTTTAGAAGAAAATATTGAACCTTCATTAGAAATGATGGCTGTTTATTGTTTTACATGTTGTTTTATGTTACACTTGCACTCTTCCATTGCATATTAAAGTATTCATCTCCTTGGCAACAATGATTTTAAACCCAGACCGGAGGTTGACCCGACGGAGAGGACGGGTCCCGAGTTTATCCGGATCGACCTAATTTTTTCCGGATTTTTCTGAGTTTTTGGGGGTTGTATCGCATTGGTTGTGCATGTGTCTGGGTCACGGTTCGACCGGTCGGGCTGCCCGATCCGGTTCGGATTTAATAACACAGCTTGGCAATTAGTCGCCTTATAAGCCAACATATAGTTACTCACCAGTCACCACTACATACTCGTTTCTATATTAACATGCCTACATGAGACAATGATTGTCTTCGATTTTTGTCATTGCATATGATGTATCGATCATAGTCATGAAGAGTCGTCTTTGAAGTTCAAAGGAACCAAAATCAGTATCCAAGTATTAGAACTTCATATTTATCATTTTTACTTTCAACACTTTTCCTTGAATCATATGGTTGTGACTATCCTATCGGGTGTCATTGGACTGATCCGTTGGTTGGTGAACATATGGTTGCAACAATAAATTCTAACACACTTTATTCAAACAAAAAACTTAGGGGAACACCACATTTGACACTATAGTATCTCACATATATATACAGTAAAATGTGTATACAATATTATAATGTCAAAGGTGATGTGTAATGCAGGAATCTCCTACTGTGTTGTTATTCAAAACCTCACTTGTAGAGCTGGAATCCGCATTAACGTCACAACTATGCATGGAGCTTAGACGTACTCCCTACGTCCCAGAAAACCTTTCTCCTTTCTTTTTTCATCCGTCCTAAAAAATACCTTTGATTTTTATTAAAAAGTCACTTTTACCCTTACTTTTTCATACCCTACCTATCACATCATACCTTTTTACTAATAATCTATCCATCAAATCATAATTTTACCCATCACATTAAAGGACATTTTTGGAAATTCAATACCAAAATACACTCTCTTTAAATCTCCCTTCAAAATCAAAACTCCCATTTTTTCTAGGACAGAGGAATTATTTTTTATTTAAGTGAATGCTTAGAAAAAACCAAATTGACTCTCGTGAAAACCCACAAGAATTATTGTTGGAGAATTTATTAAAGAAATCTATCATGTTAGGACCAAAACATTAATCACATCCCCAATTAGAAGTTCAATATTATTATTTTCAAAATAAAACTATTGCATTGTGGCAATTCAATACTGTATATTGGTATTCAACTTTGTTTTTTGATATTGTTAATATTTTTGGTATTGTAAATCATTATCTAGATATAAAAATATGAAACTTTTATTTTGATGCTCTTTCTATATTTTACTCTTAGTTTAATCTTTTTTCTAGTGTATTAAGCTTTAAAAGTATGTAATGTTAACTATACTTTGGTAGTCTCTTATATAAAAAGCAATGTTCGTGACATAGCTTAGGTGTTTGATAAATGTTGTAAAAAAATAGTGGTCGGATTTGACTCTTAACAAAAAGAGTATATATGAGGTCTTTAGTTTTTACTTTGCATAACATCTTTATCGAGATCATAGATAAATCTTATTTTATATTTGACCAATTAAGTTTGAATTTGAAAAGATGCTGATTTGGTTAATCCTCTTTTCCTTGTTTCTTTTTTAAATAAAGAGAGTAATTGGTTTGCTTGGTGATAAGTCCTCAAATCTCATATTTTATTCGTCCATTTTAGCCCGTTTTAGTATATTCCAGGTGCATTTTATATGCATTTAATCGCTATGATGTTTATATAGCAATTTAGGCCACTATTTATATTTTAATCATAAAATGCATTCTTTTGAGTATTCTTTTACTTCACTATTTTTATTATCTTATTTACCTTGGCGTAGGTCTTATAAATCGTTTTGCGAAGCATAAAAAACTCGGTGGAGATGCCAAGTTTAGATTCCGGAGGTGTCAAGAATCAGATGAATAAGTTAATGGGCCAAGTCACTTGGGACTTGACCCAATTGGCCATTACGCAGCCCAGTCCAGAGCTGCCCAAAACAAACAATGAAGAAGACGCACCAGGCAGCTGCGAGGAGCGAGGAAACAGCAGGGAGGGTACGTCCTCTAGGGGGTCTGGACTTCGGTCCAGCCCCAATTCTTCCTATGTTCATTAATTTTAGGCTGTTTTGATGCTTACAGTTGCTTTGTTTTTCATTCGAACAAATGTTTAATTAGTCTGTGTTTGTGATTGGGTTGTTTCTTCCCAAAAGGCCGAAGCCATCCTTTAGCACTACCAGTTTGGTTTTTCAACTTTTATGATTAGAGATAATTATTGGCTGAGTTTGATTTGTTGAAACAAATAGCTTGCTTTTTCCAAATTGGCAGAATGTTTGTTTGAATGGATTTCCATGCCTTTTTTGGGTTCAATTTCTTCCTCACGTATGTTGTTGTCCAGAATTTGTGTGTTTGTGTGTGCTGATTCCTGTTGTTCAAATTCTTTTTCTTGGTTAATTGGTCTCTTAAATTATTTAATTTCTCTTGTCCATTTTTATTCATCAAAGGAATTGAATCTTGGGTTCAAATCTTTGTTGAGTAGTATGGCTTTGAAGAGCTTTTAAGCCTTTGTGCCATGGTTGGTTTGAACTCAAAAATGGTGTTTGAAAACTGAATTTGTTTAGGCTTGGGTTAGACAAATTTAGGATGGCCACCTAAAATCTAATTCCAAATTGACAGTTTTAAGATCTTAAGTACGTTAATAGCCGAGATTTTCAAAACACAAGTGTCACCTGGTTAATACTTAATTGGCTCCCACCCGGTTTTATTAATCAGAGTTTTCAAGCTGGCTATGGTAAATAGATATAGTCTACTGCATAGTTGTTAAGTGATGTTTTCCAAAGAACTTAATGCTCTATTTTTAATTAAATCTGGGGGCAGGTTCTTGGGTTGTTAAGAATAGTGGAGTCTAGAGTTAGGGCAGGTCTTAACATAGGCTATATTACAGAGAATAGGGAAGAACCGCAGATGGACCTCTTCTTCAGCTTGACCTTGAGTTTAATTAGCAGTTTAATTTCAGAATCATGGCATAATAAATTAAAGAATCATATTTGTTCATTTTATTTTCTATTAAAAACTATAAGTATTTTCAAAATGGTTTGAGTTAATTATTACTGTCTACGTTTTATAAAGTTTATTGTGTGATTGTTTTTGTGTGTTTGTTTTCTCCCCGAGTGTCTTGTGAGTTGGGCTTGCTTTTGTGGTTCCATCTCGTATCTCTGATCTGTTATCCTTTATCTTTATTTTATTTTATTTGCATTTTTACCTTTTTAAAATTATCATTCAAACCCCCCATATCCTTTAGTTAGTTATTTTTAGATTTTAGTTAGTTGTTTTTATTAAATAAAAGTGACAAGTGAACTGATTTTCATAACCTAAAAAGTATCTTTACTCGTGGAATCGACCCTTACTTGCCCTATCTATATGTTTTAATGAATATTAATTCATAAAAGGGGATTTAAGTTAAGGAAAATAATAAATTAATTTGTAGGCGCTAGGACACGCCTTACACTTGGTATCTAAATTAGACAGCCCCAAAACACATAAAGCGTTCGGTTATACGAACTCAAGAATTTGTTGACCACCAGGCGTTCGACGATATGCCTGAAAGAATGAACATGCAGGAAACCAATCTGGGCTCATCATCATCATCACCTCCCTGGAAGTTTGGGTCCCAACTTCAAGGATGGATGCTTCTTATTCTTGGCTCCGTTTCATTCATTCTATTTGCTTTCGCTGTTGGGTTGTCCAAGCTTCTTCCAGCTTCTGGTAATCCTATAATAGCAGCCATTCAAAATGACAGGTGAATTCCTTTCTTTCTTAGGACGTCACCATCTCAAATACTGTTGTTAAATCATGTCCATAAACCTTTGAATTGGATTCCTCTGTTTTCAGATACTATTGCTTTCTGGTACCTTTGACGCTTCCTGTTCTTGTTGTTGCTGTATATTTCCACTGGCTCAGCATGAAACTCTTCAAGCATGCTTAGGATGTTTCCTATGTTTCTAAGAATTTTTGCATTCTGACAATGGTGGCACCCGAGAACTACGGTAACACCCGTAAATATACTCATCTGTAAAAGCCAATCTAATCTCGGCCTATTTTTCATTTTCCCTTATTGAAAGATTCATCGATGGATTAACTACGGAGTAATTAATATTTCATGTGTTGGAGTTATCTCAAGTCAGCTAAGTATGAATGAATGAATCGTGAGGTAAACCTCACATTTTGATGGCTCTTTTGGGCCGACTTCGCTTGAATATTATTCTTTAACATGGTATTAGAGTCATACGATCTAATTATATGACCTGACCCATAGCCATGATAGCGAGGCACCCTATGAATGACCCCACGAAAAAGATGGACTAATCGATACTGTCTGTGTGGGGGCGTTGGAGTTATCCTACATTGGCTAATTATAAATGAATGAAACCCTAAACAAGTACTCCCTCCATTCCATTTTAACTCGTCTTTATTACTTTCTTGATGCATTCAAAAATAAATGAATATAGACATACGTTATGTCTACATTCATTCATATTTCAATGTACCAAAAAAGTGTTAATATACATTTAATATGGAATGGAGGGTGTATGAGATAAACATCACCTCTTGAGAGCATTTTGGGGTGAGTTAGGCTGAAAATTATTCTTAACTGTTAACACATTAGTAAATTGTGTATTTATTGTCAACTCAAGGAATACTATTGCTTGCCCTTGTTCTTTTCACCTTAAACATGACGGAGAATTGGAGTCACGAAGCTAGACATTGTGTTTGAAGTCTCGAAGATGGAAATAGGTGACTGAAACTTGTATTAAAACATACCGATCATTAAGGATACGGGAACCGGGTACTTGAACATGGAGATAAGTAACTTGAGACTAGAATACTTGGAACTTGGAAGTAAATGTTGAAAATAGAAAGGCTTTAGTTGGAGATTAAAGCCTAATTATCCATAGATTTGTCTAACACTTGCGACTTTTTTTTCACGAAGCCAAGAAAATTATTCCATTTCATTTGCATCAACTCTACTCAATCAAACCCCAATGGTGTCAAGAACAACTGTTCAATCTTAGGGATAACAAAAGTAATGTCTCAATTTGTTTCTCTAACAAAGTTATTATTTAAGGATAATGCATTTAAAGTGTATGTCTTTTATATTTAGTGTAGCTTGGGCTGTCTGTTCTGATAAAAGATATCAACTATCTATGTTACCTATGCAACAAACATATTATAAAATGTACCATGTTGCAGGCCCTTTATATAGGTTGCAATCTGATCCACGTTGGGACGGCTCAGACGGCTAGAACGCTTTGGTGGGTGGGGGGGGGGGGNAACACCCCCACGCGAGTGATGATTTGTGTTTTTGAATTTGAAAAATTTCCCTTCCACTTTTAATTGTGCTACAGAGTGACTTTTTGTCTCGCCGATAGAAGGCAACATTAAAAAAATTGTTGGGGTTGTGATTGATATGGAGACAAACTGAAATTGTAGGGCTTGTGTTTGATTTAAAGTTGATATGATAAATGACAAATATAGACAGACTAGTGTTTTGAAAATAAAGCCGGACCGGCTGGTACAACTAGTTAGACCGTGACCCAAACACGCCCGGTTCATTGAGTAGAACCACTTTCCCCACAACTCACCTAAAGACGTCTGACCCTGCGAACTGGGCGACTCGGCACCGCTTGGCCAGTTTGAGACTAAACCCACTTTTTCTTAAATTTAAAAATTTAAAAGTTGAAGGCGGCAAGTAGGAATCGAACCCTATAACTTCAGTGCATCAGTATTGCTAGGTGAGCTAATCACCTTTTTCTTAAGTATATAGGCATAAGTGTTATACTCCGTACATCTTAAAAACTAATAATTTTTGCTTTTTGTTTTCTGAAATAAAAAAGTAAAAACTTTTTTTGAGAACTTAAAAAATGAGGAATAAATAAAATTAAAAAAAATGAATATCCTTTTTGTTCATATCAATTCTAAGGACTTTTTTAAGCGTTCTGAAAATTTATTTTTGTATAAGACTCTTTTTGCATGTTTCAATTATTTCATTTTTTTTTTGCATATTTTAATTTTTTATTTTTGTAATATAGATTTTCTTTTTGGACTTACCAAAAAATTACCGTATATCAGAAAACAAAAAGTGAAATTCTTAAATTTGAGATAGATGAAGTATATGTTACTTGATTTTTATTTCAAACACAAAGAGTTTTGAATTTTTTAAAACATTATAAAAATTGAAAAGAAATTTTAAAAACTTTTCTAGGAAAAAGGAAATAAAGAGATAAAAAAGATTTAAAAAAGAATAAAAAACCAAATAGTAAACGAAAAATAAGAAATGAGTACGAGTGTCCTCAACTAGGACACAGTATATCCCACATGTGGAGATAGCCATTATTTTTGCATGTAGCGTCAATGATTGTCTGTATTTGTCTGTGATATACTAGTATACAAAATTTTGATACACTAACTTTTCCTTTAAAAAAAAATAGGCACAATTATGTTGTTGGTGTTATCCTCTTTAGCTGCCTAAGTTTGACAAGTATAATTACATTAGCGAAAAAGAAAAAGGAGAGAAGACTAGATCATTGTAACCAAGTCATCCAACCAAACAATATGGGTGCATTTTATAATTATTTGACTAATGATTTTATTTTGTATTCTTAGTTGACATTGGACAATTCAACGCAGAATTGCATTCTCATGTCCTCGAATCAATTTCTCTTTGACTTACAAAAATTAAGAATTTTCGTCGTTTCAATTTAAATTCTCTATATTTTGATTTACGATATTTAATTAAAACTATTTTCAATTTATTTTACGGAGTATTTAAGAATTGTGGTGAAATTAAAAAATAAAAATTACATATTAAAAGATTACATCAAAGACTCTACGAAACATGATGTGACACTACTATATTATCTTTTCCAATTTGTAACTGAAATAGGTAAAAAAAAAATGAATAAAGTTTGATCCTAATAAACATACTGAGTACAACTTAAATTGGGACGGACGAGTAATAAATAGTTCCCTCCGTCCAAAAACTTCTTTCCCGATTTGATTTGGCACGAAGATTAAGAAAAGTGAAAGAGTGTAAAAGTTTTCCATGTTGTGCCCTTGATGTGATGGAATGACGTGAAAATTGTAGTTAAAAAGTGGGATATAAGGATACATTCATTAAAAGACTTTGTCAAAATAGTAAACGGGAAAGAAATTTTTGGACGGTCAAAAAAGGAATGTGAGAAAGAAATTAATGGACAAAGAGAGTTAAAAAAATAAGTAGACCGAATAGTTATTAAAATTTGTTATTTGAGAGAATTCAGGTGTTTGTTTGTGTCGTTAACACAATAAGACATTACATCGTTTGTCTTTAGTATTGTCAATTCATTGTGAACTTGTCATTGTTAACATTGCAACTCTGGTTTGCGATAAAACAACCTAAGTCCTATCAAAGTACTTTCTTCCAATGTTCCGCTCCGACTTAGGAGCATTTCTAATGCACATACCGAAAAAATAAATTCACAAACAAATCCCGTTTTTAATATGTGCAAATTCTTTGTCCAACCCGGGTGTGGGGTCCACCAAGAAAAGTTGACCGGGGTCGTTAGATCGGTTGGAACCCCGCGATCGCCGATCTAACCGCTCCCGACACCGGTCCTCGGGTTGACCTACCTCTCATTCTTCACAAAACCGAGTCGTCGCGGGTTGTAAGCCATGTTCCACACGTCTATATGACAACGAAGTCCCAACCATTTTAAACCACTCCATGAAGGAATGAGACACTTTCTTTGACTTGTCACATATTCACATTATTATTATGCTATATATACGGACTATATATGCATATACATAATATATACACCCACATATCCTTAATTCCCAAATCTTAATCTGATTTTCTCTTTCCAAAAAAAAAACAAATAATTGCATATTGCCACAGGGGAGACCTTAGAACACAGACAATTAACGTTAATTATTGTCATTAGGATGGAATCTGTGTTCCTGATAATGATGTTAATCTTAGTGACGTCAGGTGGGGCGCTTGGAACGACGACGTACAACGTGGGGGATAATGCCGGTTGGACTATACCTTCTAATGGCGCCACCACTTATTCCGATTGGGCAAAAAACCTCAAATTCTCTGTTGGAGATGTCTTGGGTAATTATATTTTCTACCTCTTTGTTATCATTAATTATTTCTTTCCATTTTTTTTTAAAAAATGATCTTCCCATTCACCGTTTTTATTAATATTTTTTTGTAAGAATATTTTTGTAAGAATGACTTAAACAAAAAGAAATTTAATTAGATGGATTAAAAACAAAACTCGACTGTTATACCGTGAAAAATTACTTTTAACTTTTATTTAACATGGAAAGTGAATTGCAAAGTAAGAAGTTAATAACTAAATTCAAACCAAAAGAGTAATATTTTTAAATTTGTATGCAAGATAAATAAAATAGAATCATCTTTATATTAAAATGCAATTTAATTTTTATTCAATGGATGAGTTAACTTGGTCTAATTTAACCGTTCAAATTAAACCGGTATAAATACTCTTAGGATCCGTTTGGTACACTGAATTGACGGAATTTAAATTGAATTGGAAGTTGAAATTCTATGGAATTGATTTAGATGGAATTGAATTTTCCAATTTCAGTTTATTTTTGTCACTACCAATTTCAAATCTATATATTTTTGTGTTACAGAAAAGCAAATTTGGAATTATTGTCTTTAGTTCCAATTCTATAATTTGAATTTCGTGTACCAGAGTAGTCTCTTTGTTGGTGGTAATATTATGTTTTACGAAGTATTATTAATCAAAAAACAAAAAATACAAAATTGCAGTCTTCAAATTCACCACCGGAGCACACACGGTGGCGAGTGTGAAAACCAAGAAAGATTACGACTCATGCACCGCCGGGAATCCGCTTCTGCTCGAATCTAACGGTCCGGCGACCGTTACGCTCAATTCCACCGGCGAGCACTATTTCATCTGCACACTCCACTGCACCATAGGCCAAAAGTTAACGGTCAACGTCAGCTCCGCCGCCAAGGGGTCGCCGCCGTCTTCCCCGCCAAAGAGCAGCCCGGCCCCGGGTTCTAATTCATCGTCGCCGTCTCCGCCAGCAGCCAGAACCACCCCGTCTCCGAGTTCCAATCCGGCATCGCCGCCACCGCCATCCAGCTCAACTCGCGCAACCATGTTTTCAAGTGTACTATTTTTACCGTTTTTGCTAGCGGCATTGTATTAAAACGTTTTTTGTTTTAAACGGAGCATCGTAGGGTCCATTCTTGTTTCAGTATCGTTGATGTGTGGTTTTTCTAAGCTATATTGTGTGGAATTCATAACTTTGTACTATTTGATTGAATTGAATAAAACCCTTGTTTGCACAATTGCATTGTTTGTCTCTTTCTTTGTTACTTTTGTTTGTCTCTTTCTTTGTTACTTTCATTAAGTTTTGTGTGTGTATATCCAATGTTTATATACACATTTAGAGCCCTTTTGATGAACAAATAAAGTATAAATTCTAATATCTTAAGATATCAGAACACATTTGGTGTCTGATGAAGTCAATAGAGTTCAGATCTATTATCACTACAATCTACCATATCACAATGGGGAAGGTTCCCATGACATTGGGAACCAATGTCATGGGATGACCCGGGGGCGCTCCGGTGCCCCGTTCGTAAAATTGACGGTTCCTACCCCTCGTAAACCCCCCCACCCCACCCCGACCCAAACACACCCCCCACCCCCTTCATATAATTTTTTATCAATATATTTATTTTGAAATGTAATTTTGAAATATATTATTGTTATAATATATATTTTTATAAAAAATAGAGATATTAATAGTCAAAGTATTGCATTGAAAACCGTTAAAAGTTAAATAAAAAGTTAATTTTAGGACGGAGGGAGCATAACAATTCTAATTAACACGAGAAGAACATTCCTTGACGGAGGAAATATTTTGATATCTTCCGCATTTGGAAATAGTAACCCGGGTGTTTTGATATCTTCCTTAATCGCCGACCAACACCCACCACTACCGTCATCAACCATCATTAACGGCGATCATCTCAGATCTCTCCAAACACGTTCAAATTAAATTTCAAAACTCGTATCGTATCAAAGGTCCCAAAATAAACTCACAAAGTGGACAAATGCAAGTATTGGTTGGCCCATGGTTTTTGTTGTGCAGGAATCCCGTGAAATTGTGTTGTTTCTGCTCCTAAATGGAAACTATACCCAAAGTGGGCAATATGACATAATAGCTCAATAGCTGTCATGTTGGAGTGTGATGAAAAAGGAAAGAAAAAAAAAACATCTTTTTTTTCTTTTTCTTTTTTTTTGCCTTTATCATGTCAACTTTTTGCTCTTTATGACCAATATATCCCAAGGGAAGAGCAAAGTTGTTCATAGATAATAATCTCTACATAATGAACACACTACAAACCACGTGTAAATTATTAGAACCTTGCATTTATTAATTTATTCATTTATAATTTCATTTATTTATTTACCACCTCCGTCACGTCACAATTCCTTTTTCAACAATCGCGAAAATTTTACTTTATTTATACGATTTCATTGATTATTTGATAAATCAAAATATTATTGACACCTTTTATTTTAAAGAACTTTTCATGTAGTTGTTAAATATGTAAATTTTATTTTTTATTTCTATACGAATTGTTAAATAAAATGAATTGAAAAAACTTAATATTTTATCTCAATGTGGCAAACAAATAGGGAAAGAGGGTACTCTCTACTTAAAGCTAAAATCTAAATTTTCTAATCCTCTCTGCTAGTAAAAGAGCATCCATATTTCTAGCTAAAGGACATTCAACAGCCACAGGGGAGGGGAGGGCAGGGGAGGGCATCAATAATAATAGATAATCTTCGTTTAAAAAAGAATAAAGCTAGGGTAACACCACACGGGTGCCCCCATGGATGCCCCCATGGGTGCCCCATTGCTTGGAGAGACACAGACACAGACAGACACGATTATCAATGATAGAGCATTAAAGAAGGAAAATTGCCATTTCAAATAAATCATACCTTTATGGATTCTCAAATGCACATTGTATTAGAACTGGAAATGTAGAGACAGGCTACCACCCACTATGTTCCAAGAGTATCACAAGTTCTAAAAGAATGCCAAATGCTCATAAAACATCCACATGAAATTGGAACAATGAAAAAAAAATTAAGGTTATGTACTTTGTACACAAAGATTTGTCTGCTACATAGAACAATTGTCTACTATGGATCCCAGATTTTCAACACAAATAAATAAATGATCACAAAATCTAAGGAACGAGGCTAGTTTCTTCTTGTTGAGACTAGGACAGACATAAAAGGACTTATAATATTGACAGCACGAAAAAATCCTATGACTTTAGGTCAGCACAAGATCATAAATGGAACAAGATCAACAATAACCCAATATAATCAAAAGTTAGTTGGGATCTGGGGATCAAAATCTACGCAGCCTTACCCCTTTAAAATGCATACAAACTGTTTTTGTTAGACCATGATGCATTGCTGCATTTACTACCTAAAACTTCATTGAGAGTAAAAAAGTAAAGAAAGTTTGATGTGTCATTTTGAATTCGTCCATCGTTTACTTTACTTGAAGATGAAACATTTGTCAATTACGACTATTTTATCTCCATTGGCAATGGAAATGGCATAAATGGAACTAAGCTTCTGTGTTGTTTGGTTAGCAATGAAAATGGAGAGAGAAAAAGAAGTTGTAGGTCACATCAACATTCCCTCTTTTTCTCCTCTCATTAAAAGAAAGGGATAGAATCTTTCCTCTTCATGGCATTTTTAGTTTTAAAGATATTTTTGTCTTTTTCTCAAGTACCTACACCTTTTTTTCTTCTTTTGCTATCAAATTTCTATCCTACCAAACAATGTACAAAAACCCACTACCACAGTTTTCTTTTTATTCACTAATAAAATCCCACTATTACATTTTTCTTTGTTCACTAACCACAATTTCTTTCCTCACCCAAACAAAGCCTTACTGTATTTTTGTCTTCTAACTTCTATAAGAGGAATTTGAAAGGTACACATAGTAAACTATAATTGGTAATAAGAAACTCACAATCTAGGCTGGCATTAAAATCAATGTGAATAGTCTACATGTAACTACCTAATAATATTTTGATACAATACATGAATACAATAGCTAATGATTCACAAAAACACACATCTGGTAATTTAAACAAAATTCGTGGCACTGAAATTGCAAAACAATGAGAAAAAAACATATGCCGATTGCATCTTCCAAATTCCAAATCAGCTCTTATCCCTTTAGTAAGTTAGTGCAGTAACCATAAGCAAAATTGGTCTGAAATGTGTTAAAATGCCTTTTTTCGCCTGTGTCCTCTAATGGTGTTAGGTTCTAAGGAAAAAGAGAAGCAATAGAGAGGAGGGAAATAGAGAAATGGGTCTACCTTTGGAATGGAAAGAAAAGAGAGAAGAAAGTTAAAAACTTGAGGCCTACCTCTTTTTTTGTCTTTCTTATTGTGGGAAGAAAAGGGTTTTTTTTTTAATTTTCCAATTTTACCCTGTACTTTCTTTTTGCGGGATTTTGTTGGGCTTGTTGTTGTTGTGGTTGTTGTTGTTGTTGTATCCTATACTCTCATATCATTTTTGGATTGAATGATAGTGTTTGTTGTTTTAACAAAAACACTATTCTTTCTCTTATTTTCTCTTCTGCCTCTCCCACCAAACAATATGCAAAACCCAACTTTGTTATCACCTTTTCTTTCTTCACACTCTTTCTCCCTCCTTTATATTGTCAGCTTAAGAATTTATTAGTGCCTTTTCCTTCTATTTGCTACACCATATAGATCTTCATAGTTAAGCATTATATGCAGAAACAGCAATGCGAGCTTTTGATGAAAGCATTGGGGGCCTCCCAAAATTTTCCTTCCTCAAAAAATTACAATACAACTTATGATACGTGATTGTCTACAAACCTGGTCTTTTAAGTTGACCACTGAAATGGTCAAAAGTGGGGCCCTCTTTACGCTTCCTAGGAATCAACCCCATGTCCTGGCCTTCCCGCTCTGAGTCCCGCCAACTTGTGGGAAATCTAGAAGAATCGTTTGTAGATTCCCGTCTAAAGAAACAAAACTCTCTTTGATTAATGGCAGATACAACTTTGGACTTGCCTCTTTCATTAGAATCATCACTTGGCCGGACAGAAGTGTTTCCCAAATGAAGGCCACAGTCTAAAGACTGACCCAACCTCAAAGACAAATCACATTCCTCTTGGGGTCCACCACCAAGAACCGCTCTTTCATTTTGAGCATGATTTTCAATAGATTTGGAGAAAAAATTCTTCAAATGGTTGGCCTCAGGATAATTGGGCCTGCCACAAATCAGATTGCTTGTAGGCCCATGGAAGCCTGACAGTGAAAGATTTGGTGAGAAATTGGTTCCATGATATAGAGGATATACTGCACCCACGTTTAACGTGTTAGGTGATACCGGCTTATTAGATTCTGAAGGCAAAGTGACCGAATTAAGTGTGGGTCTTCCAAGTGTAGGGTGGCTTGAGGAATGAGGAGAGAGTGAGTTGGAGTGGCAATCATTTGAAGTGTGATTGATAACTTTGGGAGACATAGGATGATGTTCTTGAGTTCTTGGGGGTAGGTAGCTTCTCGGTTTAATGTTCCGTTGGCTCCGGGATGTCTTTTCCGCAACACAGCCAAGAACAAGAGCAGCTGAACACACCAAAGTTCACAAAAGGCAAAACTTGCATTAAAGGTCTCAGTCTAATTGCTCAATGTGTAATTGTAATTTCCTAAGGAAATGTCTGTCTTACAAGTGAAAGTCCTATGTAGGACAATTTGATTTCAACCCAATAGACGAAATGAAGCCACACTTGAAATCCAACACACCACAGATGGTGAAAAGCAAATGGTGTAAATATGGTGTGTCATTCTCGTGTGGAGAGACGGCCATTTCCTTAGAAAACCTGATGTGCAATATGTTTGGAATGTGGAAAATGGTAGAGAATAGGAACAAAGAGGGTAGACAAAAATTAAAATTAAATTTGACATATATAACATTTGAACCAATTTTTTGCACTTTTCCCAATTTTATTCAAGAAATTTTACTCCCTATCTTCTTCCCCAAGCATCAGCAGGGTTCCAAAACTGAATTCTAAATAATGGAGAAAGTAAAGTTGCAAACTTTACATGTAAATAGTTGTACCTTCAACACAAGGAGGTAAGAGCTGCCCAGTCTCTGTACTCTCGTCCCTCCGAATTATCACATCAATAGCATCATTAGCCCTATCCCAGAGAGTTTCCGGATCCATATACTCTGCCTGAATGGTTTACAGAAGTTCGAATCCTCAACGAAAA